GCTGCAGCGCCGGTGTGGGGGGTGGGGGGGGGAGTCTCACTTGTGCGCCATTTCCGGCTTCCCCCCTTCCCTCCCTACATCCAAGTTGGATTACCCACCAAAGCTATTCCTTGACATTCTCCTCAAGCTCCGAGATATTTGCATATCTTTGCACGAAGCTGTTCCTCACTTGTTCCATCTAGTATCCTCCCCCTCTCCCTCCTCCCCCTCACTCTCTCTCGCCTCGCCTTCTTTCGTTGTTTATTTCCCGCCATCTCCATCAACCTGCCTCTGTTTCGTCTCATCGATGGAAACGAGATTATTCACTCGAGAATCTCGCCCATTTCAGGGTTATAATTGAACTCGAGACGGGTATCCTATTTTTCGGTCTCTTTCTTTTCGTCTGAAGAGAAAAATCAGAAATTGAACTTGGGAAAGCTTCATCGGGGGTTACGATTTTACCTCGTCTCTAAATGCAATCGAAAAATTCGACCCGAGTAGTTCGCATAGAATGTACCATGTTAAGAGTTGTAGGGTTTCCTAATCATTCCTCGTGGTTGCCATCAAATACGAACACTTACAAGGAAACTTTCAAGAAACTCGTAAATTGGGAGCATCATTAGAAGCTCTCTAAAAATTTCTATTTGATATCCGGGGGAAACTTTTCAAACAAAGGTAAATTCCCTGTGCCACGGGCATTCAGTTGGATTGAACCACTCTATTCGGAAAAACCATGGACCTCTTGAATGATATAATTATTTGGGTCTCCAAATCATCAGAGAAGCTTTCATCGACCAGATAATATCAACGTCAGGAACGCTTTTGGAATTAACTTAAATGTGCGCCTAAAAATTGGCCGATAGATGAAAGAAATTCTATATTTCTCCCCAAGAAAATCCTGGGGAAGTGGGAGGAAAATTCGGCTCCTCATCCGGGAATGAGAATCAGGGACGAGCATGGTCGAGAATTCTAAAAACCATGCACAAGTCGCAAGACAAGCCTAGCACATTGATTCCAGAACCCAAAGCCCTTATTCTCGGCAAGCGCAATGCTTTTCGCAGTCAATTTTCCGGGTTCCCCCTCCCCACTAATATCTCCAGCGTGAATAATGTGCCGCTGCGGCGCGCGGCGATATTGAACTTCAGAGGCGCGCACGACGCGCCCTCTGTCGGCCGACAGGCGAACTCGTGTGCCGATGACCGTCTTCAAGGCTGCTTGACGGCGGATCCTCCTCTCCCTCTCTACGTTCCTCCTTGTCCGTCCGTCCGTCCGTCTCCCGCCACCCCTCCGTCCTATGCAGCCCTTCACTCTTCGCCCATCTTCGCTTTCCTTCATCTCAGAATTTTGACTTGTTTGTTTCTAACAAGTTCCAGCTCATCGCTTTTTTTCTCTTCCTTTTTTTTCTTAAATTACCTCGGTTAATATCATTTCGCATTTGGCACCCTGGCCGCTCAGTTTTCAAGTTGGACGCTCGGGATAACCAAATATCTGAAGTTTTTTTTATCTCAGAAACCATAGTAGGAAAGAATTTTTTCTTTTTTCTTCTTTTTTTTTTTTCTTTTATCTTTGCGGATGGCGAATTCAAATATCATCAATCCGAAATTTCCGACGTAGGGTGTCAATCTGTCCAGTCACGAAGTATCTCTGAATTTTCACGTTTGCCCCTAGAATTGGAAATCTCGTTATCGTTTTCTGTGCAGCCTGCAGTCTAATTCAGGAGTTGCGAAAAATCGACCATTTTCGTCGCCAAAATATGGTTCCCTTTATTTGTCTGGTATGTTCTCATGAACTCAACGATCAGATTACATCTCGGTAGCGTCTGAAGTTTTTGGTTGGTTTTGTTTTCGGCTGCACGCGTGCTGAAGAAAAATTAAAATTTCGTGAAATCGAATGTTGACGATTCCGAGCCGCGTTGGCGCTCTGTGCGAAACCCTTTAAGTATCCCACTAAGAGAATTGAGGAATCCTTGCCGAAGGGTCGGAACACCAGCTCACTGTTTCTTACTAGTGGATCCGAAAACAGTTCTGTAGGCTTTCCCTCTTTTCCTGAACCTTCTAGCTCGGCCCCTGGACGCGGATTTTTTGCCTACTGTACGACGACCGGGTCGTTAATTTTGCGGTGGTCTGCTTCTGGAAGGCGGGTTAGTCGAGGCATCCATGACCTATCCACGGGAATTCGCTGTGTCTGCGCCCGAGGCACCCCAGCGCCCCCTCGCCTCCGAATAATTTTAGACTGTGGGGGAGACGCAAGGGCTTAAGTTCGCGGGCACCTTATTCAAGCAGGAAGTCAATGGTCGTCCCGGCGCGACCACCTCATGTCAACAGTGGCGTAGCGTGCTTTGCGATGTATCGATCTCACTCTCATTTAAACCTATGGGGAAGAATCGATAAACGCAATTTCGCAACAAACATCCTTATAATCGATTCTTTACTACAGCTTTAAATGGAGAACTATCGATAATCGATCACTCATGCCTCGCCGATGTCAACTCTTCAAAATTGTACTCGTTAACAAGGAGCTAGTCAGCCCTCAAGTCAAAACGGGTGTTGAAATGAAAATGCACGTAACCCGTCATTTGAAACAAATCGCGTGTTTTCTTCTTTCCTTTTTAATTATTCTAATGAATACAATGTGATTAGATTCCTCATTGGAAACCGGCTACAGCTTGCGTTACTCTCTCGTTCACACTCTGTCGCTCCATTGACGTTAGGGCGCACTTCGATTCCCGCATGAGCCCTAGAAAGCATGGATTTATATGTAAATCAGGACTCACGTGCACATTGAGATACGCCCTTCCATCAGAGGGGCGACGATATTCAGTCAAATGCACCTGCACCTACTCTCTCTTGAAACTTACGTATACTGCGAGTAGAAAGCTTGATACAATTATATCAACCTCTACGTAGCCCTCATTGCATAACCTCTGAGTTGAAGGAGTAATATACCTCTCGCGCTGATCAGTTCAAGAACGCATAACTAAACCGGAATTCTGGCGATTTTGTGACTCTGTCCTCTTCCTGAGGACACGTTCCCGATTTTCTACGAAGTTGCTGAGGTCGAGCTTGCCGATCAGTAACTCAAAATTTCAAATGATTTTCGCCCCAATCCAGCTGATTCGAAATTCTTTCCCTCCGGCTTGAATAACAGAAAAGTCATCATGACCCTCTTTGCGTCCTCGGATAATCCGCTCAGCCGTGTTCTCCGAAATGACGTTTTAAAGCAAAATTGCCCTTTTTTGATACAGTAGCTTCAATTTTCCTCCCCGCCTCGTCTACCTCCAAGTCGACGCCTCAGTCCTCCTCGTTAGCTCTTTTCCGCGGTCCCTGCCAGCACGATCATGGTCCGTCGACCCGCATACTTCTGTCTGGAATCATCCAGACGAAACTTATGTTTCCGCGTGGAGCCCGCAGCAGCGTTGCCGGTTTGAACGCGAATGCCGACGCACTTGACACGAGACCCCAGACATCGCATCGACCAGGATGCCATGATCATCTTGGCAACCGTGGCAACCAACGTTGCCAAACTGCCGACTAGCCGATTCGCGCGAATCCTAAGCTGTCTATTTTCAGCGCACGAACCGGCACGGTGACGCGCTCCTTGAGGCAGGTTGTGGATGCGCGGTGAACAAGACGCGCTATCTCTAGTGCCCCCTCTTCCAACCCCCCTCCCACCCTGCGTGCCCCTCCATTCTTCAGAATAAAAAAAAAAATTAAAAAAATAACGTGCTCGTCTTCATCCTATGTAACCTTTATCAAGGCTTTACACGCGTTCTTTCGTCTGCAACGAAAAATTGGCGGATCTTGAAAATTCTTCACCTCCTCCTCTTGTCGATGTTAGTCCCACGCGATCGTCTCCTCCCCCCCCCCCCCNCACTCTCTCTCTTTCTTCTCTTTTGCAAACTCCACCAAGAGAGATTCGGTAGCCGAGGCTGAGGCTCTTCGCTTGCCAAAGGGCTGGCAACGATGCTGCCGCTGAGAGACTGTCAATTTCGCTTTTCTAAATGTCAAATTGCTCTTTTATTTGAGCTCTTTACCATCCGCGACGAGGTCTCGCGCGCTTTGAATGTTTCCGAGCTATTTTTAACCACCGTAAAACTTGAACTTGTGTGTGAGTTATGCTCATCGAGCCCTGGCTCCCTGTAACGTCGGCAGTGTATGTGTACTTCCCTACCATATTATTCTCCAGGGAATTGAGTGCAATCAGGGTTTTTTTGTCACTTTCATCCGAGAATTAATAGTTATCTTTCGAAACAATAGGGGCTTCAGATCCCCTTGACGTTGCCCCCCCCCCCTCCGCGACGCTACTGTAGGCAGATTTCAATTGAATCCGCCCAACTGCGAATACGCGTCTGTTGCAGGGTTGCAATTTTCATGAAAAATAAAGTCTTGAATATCATGAAATTCAGGGTTGTAATTTTCATGAAAAACAAAATCTCGAATTTCATGAAATTCCAGAAAAATATGGAAGCTATCGAAAAATGTCTGTCGAAATTAGATCCAAAATGAAATGAAAGGCACATGGATTTTGCTTTGGGGGAGTTCATGTTGCGCACCCAGCCCCTGAAAGCACGTTTCAAAAGTTGGTGAAATTTCATGAAATATTTCACGGAAATGTCCAATCCCTATTATTTTTCATTTAACCTGTGGAGCCTTGCGGGGCGATTATAGAAAGTTCAAAGCAGCTCGATAAGACATGGAATTGCCATTTATTTCATGGTTAGGATAGGGCTATGTCTTGTCTTGTCAGGTCGACATAGTTTCAATAATCGGGGCGCTGGGAGCCTTAAAAGTTAACAGCCACAATTACTCTGGTTTAAACGAAGCCGTTCAGAAGGGGCAACTTGCGGAAGGAGGGAACTTTTCCTGTGAAAAATATGCATGAATGTTGTCAAAAATACATGTTTTAACAAGGGGAATTGGGCAACTCTCGAGTGTTCATACGGCGTTCTTCCTTAGCACGGCAGTGTTGCATCTTACAGAAAGTGAAGAAGGTAATAACGGTGATTATGTTGTTTGTTTCAGTACCAGACAGTTATGGGGGTTTCATGCCGCCGCCGAACAACTACCAAGTGCAGAGCTACAACAGCAGCTACGCGTCGTCCAACTCGGGGCAGTTCACCGTTCCGTCGGGGCCCTCCTCCGGGCGAGGGGGCGCTTCCTCCATACCCACGTCTGTGATCCAAGCGGCCACCTCCAGCTCGCACGATGATCTGTACTTGTTAGAAATGGGCTTCCAGTACCGCATCAAGAAGAAGATGAAGAGGCCCAAGTCCGACGCCACCCCCGGAACTGGCGCCAAGCGGAAGAGTCGAGAAGGTAACACCCCGTTCATTCATTTCATTCATTATACCCCAAGTAGCATAGATTGCAATAAGTAGCAATTATATAGTAAAAATATTGCAATTCAGCTGAATGTTGTGTATGTTGCCTAGCTCCTATTTGAAGGGGCCTCATTTATTGAAACTTATTGTAATGAAATTGAAGTAAGTCGCAATTTTATTGCGCTGCATATTGCCTATCTTTTTTTATTAGCTCATTTTTTTTATTGCTTAAAATCGGCATAAATTGACTAAATTATGTAAAAATATTGCACTTTAATCGTAAAAAAATTACAATTGTATTGAAATCAGATTGCAATTAATTTCAATATTTTTGTTGCACTGTGCTACTGGGGTCGGGCTGACTATCTTTTCCGCACAAAGTACATTATTGGTAATCATTCCGATTATCGTTGCCGCACAAAATCATCATCGCGCAGACAATTTTCTGTAGTATATTGCAACGTCGAGAAAAATGTGAGGCATATTCAAGAAAAATGAGTGAACAAAGATTGAAAAAATTATCGATGTTGCCAGATGTTTGAGCTCTGATTCGCGCGAACATGATTTTGTGCGGCAACGATGATCGGAAAAATTACCACAAATGTACTTGGTGCGGAAAAGATATATTCTGCCACTCTACGTCAATCCTCAATCCCAGAGACAAACCGAGAGCCTCCATTCCCATTTTTCTTGGGTATCTCGTCTCGCTAACATACCCAAGTTTGGCAAACTTGGTTGCTTCACAACGTCACCTAAAATTCATCATCCACCTAGTAAGTAGGTGAACAGCCGAAAAGAGCATGATGACTGTTCTGCCGAATAAGTAAGAACGTATTCGAGAGTTGTCAAATTTCCTTGGATAAAATTTTTATTTTTGAGGAAAATTATGATCATTTTTCCTTGCAATTTTCAGACACTTTATATCAAATCACAAACCAAATTATCTGAGAAATTGGCGGAAAAGTATTCCAACATTTTCCTGAAAATGAGTGATTTGCAGAGGAAATTTGGAACCGCGTGAAGGCTCATACCCCAATTTCCCAAATTACTCATCCGTAAATAAAACTCCTTTCAATTGGACGTTAAGTAAGCATTTTATATTAATAAAACTACTTTATATACCTCACCAACGTACAAAAATGCTTAGACATGGTCAAGCCAGATCTGTGAAGTGTCTATAGCAAATAAAATCCATATTCAAACCCATTATTATTTTATTATCAAGTGTACTATCATTGAATTTCTTTTCAGGGTATTTAAAACATAATGTTTTCTTTTTCAGGCTCAACCACTTATCTATGGGAATTCCTTTTAAAGTTATTGCAAGATAGAGAATATTGTCCGCGTTATATCAAATGGACCAATAGGGAAAAAGGTGTGTTCAAGCTGGTAGATTCTAAAGCCGTCTCAAGACTCTGGGGCTTGCACAAAAACAAGCCTGACATGAATTATGAAACTATGGGACGTGCTCTAAGGTAATTATTAAATTTCTATCTTTCCTTTTGACTTGAGTAGTAAGTGAAGTCTTGGAACGTTCGTAAATGTTCTTGAAATCGAGTAAAACTTTCATCTCATGTCCTTACAAGGACTGAAATTTCAAGAAATTCAAGTGATTCTACTTCTTTACAGTAATGAATGAGGTAATTCGATTCGATTCGAAACTGTGTTAAATATACGGAAGGCTGTCCTGCATGATACACTTGTTGAAGTCAATTTTTTTTACTGGTTTCAATAGTCAAATCAGAGAAGCTGCCAAAAGCCCTCATTGTAATGTGGCCGAAATACTCCTGCTGGGTAATCAGAGGCTTGTCACCCTATTTTACCGCAGGATTGGTATTGAAGTTGAAGTTCGTTTTCAGAAATTCTCTTTGCATTTACTCTCAACCATTGTATTTTAAATGTACGCAAACCTCAGCTAATCTGTATTCTTTTTCTTTGTTTGTTAACAGGTATTATTATCAAAGAGGTATTTTAGCCAAGGTGGATGGTCAGAGGTTAGTATACCAATTTGTCGATGTCCCTAAAGACATCATAGAGATCGATTGCTCGGGAGTTTAGTTTTATTATCTACTTAAACTAATATTCTTGATTTTTAAAGTTTTAAAAACTGGAATTGAGTATATTATTTTACTTTATTTATTTATTTTTTTTAATTCAAGTTGGTAAAAATGGCAAATGCCTCTTCTTTCTATTTGCCCCAGTTCATCAACACCTCTTTTTGTATTAAATACAAAGTTTTCAGAAAATTCTGAAAAGGTAAAATTTTGTCAACTGTTTTAATATATCACTGCTGACCACTGCTTCTGCTCAAGTTAATCAGAGCAAATTAGTTCTTTGAACTAGTTTTATATTCAAAGTCCAACAGCAATAATCCGTTCTATGATTACCTTGCCAGAAATATTTTGCCGAATTCTAAGGACAATGGCAGGGATGAATAACGTGTTCCTCGACTCAGGCAAACTAATTCACTTGCGTTGTGAAAAATTTAATTGCCTTTCATGTCTTGCACTTCTCTGATTTTTGTTCTTAAATTTTTGCTCAATGTATACAAAAACATCCAAAAATCATTCTGTAATGCTTTTTTTCTCACATTTAGGTGTGAAACATATTTTGATACTTTTTTATAATTAAGATATCGTGGAGTTTTTAACTTTTCCTAAACTTTGATTTCAAGGGACCTAACTTTGACTTTGAGTCCGCATTGTTTAAAACCCTCCTACCTCTCTGTTTAAGGCACAATTTTAAAAAGAAAGTTTATTTTATAAGAGCAAATTTGTCGGCAAGGGCCGTTGATTGATTTTGCAAAGCTCAAGAAAATTTTTATAGCAGATCTGACTTTTTTATTTTTTCACAATGTAAGTTGTCGTATGTCAGAAGTGAGAATTTTATTTTTTATGGCTGCATTCGTACTTGCTCCCAATTCTCGTTCTCTGATTTTTTTATTCCTATCAAAAAGTAATCAAATGGGGTGAATAAAGGAAGTAATAAAAGTTTTTTTAAAAAACTGTTTGTGTAATTTTATACATTACAATTCTGTGACCTGATTATTTTTTTATTCTTTTTTTACAATATCTTGATAATTTTAAATTAAATTAATTAAAAATTTAATTGAATACTTTGTTACAAACTTATATATATCTCAGTCTAATTGTTAAATGTATATATTTTTAGTTTTATATTTGTTGCAAACTACCATGTCAAAAAAGTTTAATGTTAGTAACAAAGTAAAGTTCATGATGAATATTCATGAAAGATACTTTCTCACTCTAGGTATTTTGAATTTTAGTCCGCTTCTCATCAAAACATGCGGTAATCTAGTTTTTTTTATACCTTTAATTTGGATATCATGTAATGGTGTTAAAGTTTCCAAGTACAAAATGATATCTTACTTTCGTGTACCATTTAGGAAAAAACTTGTATTTAATGTTGTCATTTTAAAAATGTTTCCTATTTCGTTCACAGGAATAAGTTGTTAATCCCTTTGTATAGTTTATTTTGTCTCAATGTTTTCTCTATGAGGCGTTTGTCAAAAACAGAAACAAACGAAACTCCTTTCGAATTATTTGTTTAATTAGAAGTACCTAATTAGTTCTTTTGTCAATTTAGACTCCCCTCCCTCAAAGTGTCTTTCTATTTTTCTATTTCGTGCGTTTTTCAAAAAATCAATGGAAAATGAATAGCGCATGGGTACAAATTACACCTGTACTATTTGAACAAAGTTAGTGTTGTGAATCTTGGCAAAGTGAAATTTTCAGAAAATTGAAGTAGTCGAAAAGACAGGATTTTTTTTTTTTTTTTTTTTTTTTTTTTTTTTTTTTTTTTTTTTTTTAATAATTATGTCATCTTTAAACATACCTGTATCATTCAACAATTGCCTGTTTTACAGTATTGACTAGTAAAGCTACCTATTTACGCATCACTTTCTATACCAATAATTCAAGAAAAAAACAGTCCTGTAGAGATCCAAACTCTTTTAAATATCTTCAAGAGTAATTAATAAATTTGAAAAGAACTTAACCTCTTAAACTTATGTGACTCTGTATCGTGAATCGTCGCAACTTTAATTTTGCTGTTAATTATTCTTCCTGGCATGGTAACTAAAAATGTTTATTATTTGGTAATCTCAAACATACCTACTGTAGTTATTTCTAAAATATTCCTGATTGTGTAATATCTTAAAAAATGTGTCTTTTCTCCTCATTCTCTGAAAAGTTTTTGAGTTAATCAGTTTTAAGAAACCATTGGTTTTCCATGTACGTACTATCAATCATTATTGAAACATAAAATATAATTTGTTATTCTGAATGCAAAAAATTGAGTACTTTTGCTCGCTCAGAGCCCATCTCCTGACATTAAGCTCAGTGTTAAAATCACTCTGAAATTTTTTGGGATCAGAGTGGAATCATTGACCTTAACTTAAGAACTACCGCATATTCTCTTCCAACCTTTAGTAGAACTTTATTGATGAATAAAATGGATAGGTAGGTTTGGCTTGCAGGTTTACTGTTGCACCAGTACTGTAACAGGTTTCAGTATTATAATTGAAATTCATCAATGTCCAATTAAAAATCTACCCCATTTTTTTGTCTAAAAAAAAAAATTGTTTTGGATTTTTACATCTCTCAGTCTCTTTAAAGTTTCTGGTAAGTAATGGTACTGGTATAAGAGCACAATAGATCTCTGATTTATTGAATTATCAAAAATAACATAACTGACAATCATCAGTCCATATTTAATCAGTATTGTCACCATTCAATATTCCAAATCAGCTGTATTAAAATAATGCTTTCTCCTTTGATGTAGTCCTAAAATAGTGAGCACCATGAGACCAAGATTGTACTATGAGAACTTTAAATTATATCCTCAATCCGAAAAATTGTCAGCGTGATTGATATGTAGGTAAGTGCACCTGTCTCTTATCTCAGTATCACCTGTGTATGTTGTACAGATTTTTTTACAGGTTACTTCTAAGGATCCATAAAGGTTGTAGGTTAAAATAAATCTATTTTTGTAAAGTATTCAAATCCTGAAGTTACCTATGTTTCAGAGTTGTCCAAATTTTATTGAGAATGTTGACTTTGTAAGATACTTATTGTACCTGCACTATAAAAATTTACTCTTGATGGGTGAAGCTATTTTGAGGCAAGCATAAACAGTTCCTATCTAGGAGGGAGGCAGTACCACTAAAAATCTAAATGAACAGATCCTAATTATGTGAGACTCTTGATCTTCCATTTTGAAAATCCATAATCAGTGGATTTTATTGTAAGTTGAGCTATCCCTGGTGGAAGTAAAATGAATTTTGTAGTTAGCAACGTCACATTTTCCCTTTCTAGCATTCAACTGTAAGCTTGCCTTGGCAACCAATGGAAGTTCCAGTTTCACCTTAAAATGAACTAAGATGTATTTCACAAGGACACCTAAAGTAAAAAAAAGCAAACTCACTTTTGTAAAAATGTAGAAATCTGTACCTAACTTAACAAAATTATTATTTGGTGTGTATCCTCTCTTTAAAAATTCAAAAAGGAAAAAAATAACCAGCATTACACTGCCGTAATTAGATGTCTATTCCTTGTGAGCATTGCTGAATACTTTTTATATTGGGTTCTGTCTTTTAATTTATCTCTGTAATGTTTTATCGGAAAATTGTAATATTTTCCTCCTTATTTTCTCTTTCCATTCTTTCAACTTATCGTCGAATCATTTCCATCAACTCATTCGCTCTTCAGCTCCCGTATCTCCTTTAATTTTCCTTTCCCTACCTATTGCTCAGTTTTATCTGTACATCAAATATCATGTGAAGCTTCCCCTATCCGTTCTCTCATTACTTCTCCCATCATTTTGTCTTTTTTCTGCTCTTGAAATTGAAAATTTTAATGATCTAATTGTAATGGACGACTATGTTCACTTGATTCAAAATCATGATACTGTGCATTTATGCAGCATTCACTGAGAAAATCAAAATCATCAAAGAGGTTCCTCCTGGTATTGTTTCCCCAATCTGGTATGTACCTCTTCCCAATGCATTTTATATCCCTCTCCTGTCTCTAATTACTTGAATGCCATCTCTAAAACAAGTCATCTCTGTACAGGAAACACAAGGAATGAAGCATGACCTTGATTAGTCAAGCTTGACAGTTTTCTTTAAATTATACCCAGCCCCAGTTTGGCCTGAAAGAATTCATCTTAAAATTTGAATGTACATCCAATGATTGTTAGATGTTAATAAGTGTCTCTCTAAACTGAACTGTACATAATTCTAAAATACTCATTTAAATAGAAGTGAAGAATGCCATTGTGAACCACTGTGTTGGAGAAAAGGGGAATCATCCATAAGGTATAGGATGGAAAAATGCAGATTCTCTAGGTTCGGCATGACTTCTTAAAATCCAACTGTTTAAGTTTCAAAGAGCTGACTTTTTAAGGCTACCTGTTCCATAACATCGTACTATTTTCCTTCTGCTATCTTTTCCTTTGAAAAATCGTCAAATTTTTTATTGAAACTCTTGTGTTCTTTGCTATTTTGAAAGTAGCATCAGGGATTTTTTAAAATGATATTTATCTTTTGTGTTCAATTTTCAAGAATTTACTCTCAAGATTTTTCAAGAAAAATCCTTATCCAATCCTGTATAACTATTAATTTTTTCAAGGAAAAGCGAGGATAGAAAAATGCGTAGCAAATTTTTAACGCAGAAAACTCCTGAATGTCTTCACTGTTAAAAATAATGTTGCAGTCTTACTTTGGAAACCATAAATAAGATGCTTCATCTATTTCACAGTACCTTCCTCTGAAACTGTGGACTTTGTGCAATATGAAATGAGTAACTACATGAAAAACTTGCTTGTAATATATCTACCCTGGGTGTATAGTTTTATTTTTAAGTTTTCATTTTTTCTCTGATCGATTTACAGTGTTCCTAATGCAGCCACATTTCAACCTTCTCAGCTTTTTCTCTCAATTCTTACAATCAATTCCAGAGTCGTATTCTTATGATCCAACTTTACTTCAACTATTGACCTACAGCCTCACAAAATCACATCATAATTTAATGCAGATATTGAACCATTAGTAGAACGGCTTTAGTGTTAGAGAAAAAATTATGAACACAAATTGTAAGACATTCATTTTGAATTGCACTAGGAACATTTTAGAGACCAACCGAAATTTTTTCCTCTTTATATTTCTTCCCTTTCTTGCTTTTTGCCCTCAAAATCGCGGCACAAAAAATGAAAAGTCATTAACTGTAGTTACCTAATCCTTGTAAATATGTTCAAAAAGATGATTACCTTTTTGAAAAGTATCTCTGTGTTATGTAAAAATAATAACTGATTGATTTCTAATTTTTGAAACAGGTCTTTACCTATGACATGCAACTTTTGTATTTTCAGCTGTAGCTTCGAGAAGGGTGAAACTTATCATGAAACACTAAATTGTTTAAGATCCCGGTGTTAAAATCTTACCAGTTGCCTTTTACTTGCTTGCCTTCAGCTTCTTTATTGAAGGCAGAAGACAACTGGTACTTAAATTGACAAGTCCCGTCCTTACTCTCAGACTTTTGGAACCTATTTTTATCTATTTATTTATTTATTGATTTTATTTATTTATTTATTTTGTAATTTAAGATTGAAACATTATTAACTTTATAATTAAAGCAACTAAAAAATGCATTTAAGATCATCGTTGTGAAAGGAAAATAACTGAATTTTTACCAAAAAAAAGTAGGTAAAAATTAATTTATATTCGCCAAGAATATTGTAGATAGCATGTAAAAAGTAAACGAATAAAAAGAAAAAAGATTATTCACAACCCTGTACATTTTAATTAGCTCTAAAATTATGTCTTTGATTACAAAACTGTATTTTCTTTGTATTTAAGTATATAATGTTAAATATTTTATTGTTTCTTTTAAAAAAAGTTGAAAATTTAAAAAAAAAAATAAAAAAATTGTAACTTTTAAGATTTGTTGGAATTTTGTGTAAATTAAAGATGAATATTGACACAAAAGTATACAAATTTCTTGTGCTTTTTAACTTCCTCCACCTTTAACATCATCTGTTGAATATGTATTTTATGAAGTAGTTGCGTAATGTTATATATACATATTCATACTTTTTGGTGAAGAAATTCAATGAAAATGAAATTTTACATAACGAGAGTTTTTCAAACCTGAAGTGCAGTGTTCGAACGTCATTTAAAAAAATACTTCCTCTATCCTCATGGGGAGAAAAAAAAGAACATAGAATAAATTTGCACAGACAGGTATTTCTTAAAATTTTCAAATACGCCAATATAGAGTCATACCATTCCTTGCAGATCAAAATCATGCAGTTTTCTGACAAGCAAAATATCAATATTTTACCAATTTCTCAAAAGAATAAAGGAGATATTTGAATGAAGTCTGCAACGTCGCAAATGGAGAAACGTCGTCTCTCATTTTGCCCAAAAATATGTCTGTATAAAATTAAAGGCATTATGACTCGCCTCTCTCAACTTATATTCGTCTCTAACGATAAACAATGTGACGCGCTTGCTACGGCGCCTTGATACAACTAAACTACCTCGACGGATGTCCGTATTGCGTTCAAAAATTTGAAGGCGTTTTGACTTCCTACGCGTAATAGCTGTAGTTGATTCGATCGTTGGACGGCGGTGACGGGGACTTGATGCATTTGTCTAAACTTGATGGATGTCCGTACCGCACCGATTGAAGTGCGAAACCACGTATCTCCATTGCGGTGTTTCAAAATTTCCGCTCTTAATTCATCTCTCCCATGAGAAACAATCCAAATTTACGACTTTAAATTTGAACCAAATCTTCTGCCTTCGGATACGAAAAATCATGGAGAATTTAAGTTTTATGTCTACCAGCTTCTCGAAGGAAAAATAAAATTGCTAAGGAAGTCTGCAACGTCGCAAATGGAGAAACGTCGTCTCTCATTTTGCCCAAAAATATGTCTGTATAAAATTAAAGGCATTATGACTCGCCTCTCTCAACTTATATTCGTCTCTAAAGATAAACAATGTGACGCGCTTGCTACGGCGCCTTGATACAACTAAACTACCTCGACGGATGTCCGTATTGCGTTCAAAAATTTGAAGGCGTTTTGACTTCCTACGCGTAATAGCTGTAGTTGATTCGATCGTTGGTCGGCGGTGACGGGGACTTGATGCATTTGTCTAAACTTGATGGATGTCCGTACCGCACCGATTGAAGTGCGAAACCACGTATCTCCATTGCGGTGTTTCAAAATTTCCGCTCTTAATTCATCTCTCCCATGAGAAACAATCCAAATTTACGACTTTAAATTTGAACCAAATCTTCTGCCTTCGGATACGAAAAATCATGGAGAATTTAAGTTTTATGTCTACCAGCTTCTCGAAGGAAAAATAAAATTGCTAAGGAAGTCTGCAACGTCGCAAATGGAGAAACGTCGTCTCTCATTTTGCCCAAAAATATGTCTGTATAAAATTAAAGGCATTATGACTCGCCTCTCTCAACTTATATTCGTCTCTAAAGATAAACAATGTGACGCGCTTGCTACGGCGCCTTGATACAACTAAACTACCTCGACGGATGTCCGTATTGCGTTCAAAAATTTGAAGGCGTTTTGACTTCCTACGCGTAATAGCTGTAGTTGATTCGATCGTTGGTCGGCGGTGACGGGGACTTGATGCATTTGTCTAAACTTGATGGATGTCCGTACCGCACCGATTGAAGTGCGAAACCACGTATCTCCATTGCGGTGTTTCAAAATTTCCGCTCTTAATTCATCTCTCCCATGAGAAACAATCCAAATTTACGACTTTAAATTTGAACCAAATCTTCTGCCTTCGGATACGAAAAATCATGGAGAATTTAAGTTTTATGTCTACCAGCTTCTCGAAGGAAAAATAAAATTGCTAAGGAAGTCTGCAACGTCGCAAATGGAGAAACGTCGTCTCTCATTTTGCCCAAAAATATGTCTGTATAAAATTAAAGGCATTATGACTCGCCTCTCTCAACTTATATTCGTCTGTAACGATAAACAATGGGACGCGCTTGCTACGGCGCCTTGATACAACTAAACTACCTCGACGGATGTCCGTATTGCGTTCAAAAATTTGAAGGCGTTTTGACTTTCTACGCGAATAGCTGTAGTTGATTCGATCGTTGGTCGGCGGTGACGGGGACTTGATGCATTTGTTTAAACTTGATGGATGTCCGTATCGCACCGATTGAAGTGCGAAACCACGTATCTCCATTGCGGTGTTTCAAAATTTTCGCTCTGAATTCAATGAATATTTCACGCATAGCGCCAAACACAGTGCGGTCAGCTTGAAACGAATAGCGCCTACAAGACTGCGTAAATACTTCTCGCATTGCGTCCAACACGGTGCGGTCTGCGCGGCGCGGCGGCGGAAGTTAAAATTATTAAACCACATTTATGTTTGTTCTTTCATAATTTTTTCGTTCATTTTTTATGAATGGATGGCCTTGTCCACACAGAGGTAGGTTCACGGAACTTACCTTTCGCGCAAAGTTTCGTGAACCTTTGCTAGTAGTGTTGACAGGGTTTACCCAAAAAATGTGTTCAACACGAGTAAATGTGACTTATGCACCCCTTTCCCGCTGGCACGTTCATAATATGATGGTTTCATCGAGTTTCAAAACGAATGAGAGGGGGGCGGCAAAATATAGGCGACCCATGGGCGGCAAGTAGGCGAATCCAGCCCTGCAAATGTCCCTATAAATTTCTCTACTATCCAAGGAAATTTCAAAACGTCTGAAGGCTTATACGGCGTTCTTCCTTAGCACGGCAGTAGAGCCTCAAGCTACAAGAAAAGGAAGGAGAGAGGGGGGATGTTTGACTTGTAGCTCCAACAAATCCAGGTGTGAGATCCGGAGGGGTTGAATTACATTGCAACGTTGCAAAGTTTCATTTGACATTTTAATCCATGATGTTGAGTTTCAATATCCTCCTAAAAATAAAATAGGAGCGTAGATTTTGAAACACCGCAACCGAACTCCGCATTTTTGCAGTTTCATCGATAATTTACATAGGGTACTTTTTTCGCTGAAAACTAAGCTAGAAAAGTGCTAAAGTTTTTTTTTCGTCGTCTAAAAAATTATTTTTTCGAAATTTTGAAAAATCAGCGTCTCAGAAAGTCTGAACTCGAGATCGTACACAAATACGGTGAACAAAAACCTACCTTAGAAGTTCAGATTCATTATTCGTTGAAAACGTCGATGAACCTTCAGGCGTTGCCAAATTTCCGTTGATAAAACAAGAATTTTCCGGTAAATCTAAGAAGATTTCTCCTCCTAATTTTCAGATAATTTTGTCGCCAATTTTATCTAAATTTCCTGAAAATTTCAAGGAAAAATATCCATAACTAACCTCAAAATTGAACATTTTACCGAAGAAAATTTGGCAACTCTCGAATGTTCATACGGTGTTTTTCCTTAGCACGGGAGAGTGACAGGCCGACTAAATCGCTTTGCCCAAAATTTGTGGGTACGCTGTGGCGCCCATGGCACACCCTGTCCGATTCCTGCGCACGCCTGCGCTGATATGCTGCCGAAGGCTACTTTCGGTACGTTATCATATCAGTGAGCTCATCTGCTGATTCGACACTCCTCCTTTCCCCCCCCCCCNCCATTTACTCCCGAACTTATTCCCGGCGTTTTTGTTTTCCCTCCTTAAATCCCGATGACAAAATTCATAGTCGTCAGTATGAAATAATGCTTAGTCAGATTCTCATGTGTCACCGAGAGGAATCAGAAATCAGTGCGTGACAAAACTCTGTTTGGGCTAGTGGAGCAGTGTATCACTCTCAATCAGCGGCTGCGGGGGCAATGCCTGTTCAGCCGGGCTAAGGAAAAACGCCGCATGAAAATTCGAGAGTTGCCTTTGTCTAGGTAAAACATGAATTTTTGAGGAATTTTATGCTTATTTTTCCTTGAAATTTTCAGATCTTTTAGATTGAACCGCGAGCAAAATTTTCTGAAATATTCCAGAAAAAAAACCTCAATATTCGTCCGATAAATGCAGTTTTTATTAGAGGAAATCTGGCAGCGTCTAAAGGTTCATACGGCGTTTTTCCTTAGCACGGCAGTGTTAAGCCGAAGCTTTTTCAAATTGAATAATCAATGACGTTTGCAGGAAATTGATTTCCATTTCTAATTTTTCCACTGCTCCCTTGCCCTCCTCTCCTCTCAGCTCAGTTGTAAATACCTAGTTGTTCTTGTAGCAATCAGTTTGATTACTGTGACTCTCTGATTTTTGGTTTGTTTACCTACGAGAAAAGGCTGTCGAGGGCGATGTCTTTATTATTTATTTTTTAATATTTTAAAAGTGACTCTCGGTTTCCAATTTCACTTACAAATTGTTTTATTGTTTATTTTAAAATTAGTAGCCAAGTGGTTTGGAGTTTTAAAGTGAAGTAAATTATGTGTTCATAGATCATATGTTCAATGTTTGGATTAACCGACGACTCTTCAATTTATCGATTAAAAGTGCATTTCATATATTTTTTTCACAGATTTGACAACATCTAAAAATTAATGGTTTCCTTGCCTACTCTCCAATTTTTGACTAACTTGTATCAGGTTAGTTTTTTCTCAGTGCTCATATTACACATCGGAACCGTAACCTAAAATTAATTTTTTTTATGTTTTTCCATTTTTTACAATTTTAATCCTTAAGATTTTCTCCTTAAACCGTTTTTGCTTCAATCAATAACATTCAATGTTTGTATGAGACATGATCTCTTTCGTGAAGGATATTGACCATTTCAAATTCATCTGGTCCCATGGAGATGTTAAAATCGATACCTGGGTGTCATCTTTGCACTATCGGCTTACTGTTGCCCTGTTGTTGGTTTTGTTTGGAATTGCCTGTAATCAACAGTATTTTGGAGAACCCATTCAGTGCGTAAATGACAAAAATAGCAATTTGCCCGTGAAAGTGATGAATAATTATTGCTTTGTCACTTCTACTTACACCATCATCAAAAGCACAGGTTGGTCGCTTAGGCGAGCTTTTTTCAATATTTTGAATTTATATTTACACAAATGCATTAAATATACTGTAGTCACTTTACCGGTAGTTTATTTTAGCATGAAGGAAATACAGAAAAAATAGCATACAGACCAACTGATGTAAAAATATTGTAATTTCATGTAGGTATAAAATGTGGAATTTTATTCCATTAAATTACAAAATAATTTCAATATTTTCGTTCTACCTTGCTACTTAAACATTCGGTTCCGATTCAGCCCCAACGAAGGTGGAGTTATTGGCAACACTGTCTCGCGCTGCTGATGGGTAATGAGCTGCATATCTTTTTTCAAATGTGCTTCCCCCCTAGATCAGTCAATTTAGTGCTTTAAGTATTCAGTTTTCCAATTTTATTTGAATTTCATTTAATACCTTTGTCAATTTAATTAGGACATGCGAACTTAACTTTTCTTTTCTTCTGTGAAAAGGGGAGCTTCGACGCAAATGTTAATTATTTTGGGGAGTGTCTGGACCAGCAATACGATCGGCCTACAGGGGTGGGTGGGTGTAAAAAAATCAGGAAAATCGCGTAACGTAATTATTTACAGACAGCCCTTCGCCCTCTTAACTTCCGCTCTCACTCAGGATGTTCAAACAGATGTCTAAAATTTAGGAGTTTGAATTTCCCCTCTGTCTCTTGAAATTCATAAATACGTCCTCAGAAAAATTCTCCGGAGATAGATATCAATTTAATCTTATGTTCTCTCGTGAAAATATAACGAAACGAAAATCAGCGATGCGGTCACAACTTTTGCTTGCCCCCCTCCCCTGATCACCGTGTCCCCCCCCCCCTATAATAATGACGAGCTTTGCGTTGGTTTGAAAAGTAAGGGAGAGTTTTGAGGGGGGAGGCTCATTTTTTTTGGACGCAATTATGGCGCTAGCGTGGTTTCAAAGCTGCTTTTTTTCTATTTCAGAGAGTTCTCATCAATCTTCAAATTTACCACCACACTCCGAGATTCCCGACAAGTCTGAGACAAGATTGCACTTTTACTATCAATGGGTCCCCCTAATGTTGCTGCTACAAGCAGTTTTATTCCGATTACCTTACATCGGTTGGGAGACTTGGGAAGGTGGTCTGTTGCGAGGTCTCACAACCAACATAAACGACAAACAGAAACTTCGCATTTTGGCGAAGTACATTGTGCAACGAATCAATACTCATCAAGTCTGGCTTTCTGGTTTCATTCTCTGCGAAATGTTCACTTTTTTAAATCTAGTTGGAGTTATCATGATGACCCATTACCTGTTGGGTGGCTACTTTTTAGCTTACGGTGTTGAGGTAAGGCATGAATGCAGCAATGTATTATTATAACAATTCTTATCAAAGATGCATCCAAATATTTGTCGTGAGCACCCTTAAAGACAGAAAACAATGTTTTTACTAGTGTATCCTAGACCCATAATATCAACTTCAGAGGCCAAGTAACAAGCATCACAGATTGCAACGAATTGTAATTAAGTACCTAGTAAAATTATTGCTACCATGCTACCTTACCGGAGTGTTGTGTATGTTGCCTATCTCCTAATTGAAGGGGCACTTCTTATTGAAATTGATTGAAATAAAATTGAAGTAAGTTGCGGTTTTTCATTGCATTGCAAATCGCCTACCTCTCTGACATGGCCGGGTTTACCTACATGCCGCCCATGGGCCGCCAGTATTTTGCCACCCCCTTCTCATTCGTTTTGAAACATCAATAAAAACCATCAAGTGAACGTGCCGGAGGGGGAGGGGTGCATAAGACGCGTTTACCTACTCATGTTGGATACATTTTTGCGCGAAAGTTAAGTTCCGTAAAACTGTCACTGTGTGGACAAGGTCCTCCGTATATAAGAAATGAACCAAAAAAATATGAAAGAACAAACATAAATGTGGTATAATAATTTTAACTTCCGCCGCTGCGCCGCGCTGATCGCTCGGTGTTTGGCGCAATGCGTGAAGTATTCATGGAGTCTTGTAGGCGCTAATACGTGTTACATGCCGACCGCCGCGCCGCGTCGAGGGCTTGTCCTTTTCATTTCAAGTCCTCGTCATCATTCCTCTCTGCGCTAAGCTCCAGGCCAAATTGCGGGTTTAGTTCCTCTCTTAACTCGACTAATTAGATATGCTGTTTTTTGTATCACCGGAAAACGAAAAAATTAGAAATTTCTATACTCTCAGGAAAGAGAGATGTTGTCCCCTTTTCTCATTGATAATTTTCTTTTCTGAATCCGATTTTTATTATACCTACATTTGAGAAAATTGCAAAATTTGCCACCCCCTAAATTTGCCGCCATGGGCCGCGGCCCATGTGGCCACCCCCTTAATCCGGCCCTGCTCTCTGATACAGACATGGAGCTGTATCTTATTCTGCATTCGGATGGTTTCATGATAACTGGAATAGTTTTGTCGCCGTAACAAACAACATATTTTTCGGTCATATTTTTAGTAGCAATTAATCACTCGATTTTTTTTTCATTAATCTACACAGAGTTACGTGCTATAACGCTCTTCAAAGATTTATCGCTCTACTTTTCAATTTTAATGTATAAATGGCCGAAAATGTGCTATCTGTTACGTTGACTTTTTACCGCGTGACAGATAGCGCATTTTCGGAATTTACATAATATTATTTGAGAAGTAGAGCAATAAATCCTTAGAAAGCGTTATAATACGTAACCCATTGAAGATAAATGCGAAAAAATTCGAGTGATTGTCATTTCTACTCGAATTATGACCGAAAAATGTGTTATCTGTTACGGCGACAAAACTATTCCAGTTATCGTGAAACCACCCAGAACAGATGGCAGTTATCTCGTTGCGCTGACAATACAGTCGCAATGCGTTGCCTCAATGCAACGTGCAACACATGAAAAGCCGCATGTAGGTGATTGTCAATTTTTTTTCTACTACGCCGTCAGCATGATCGAGGCACTTTCTTTTTTTTTCTAAATGAAGATTTGTTTTCCAGCTACTAAGGTTTTCGTTGGGCCCTCATTTTGAAAGCATTGGACTCAACTCCCTTCTCTCAAATGGCAAAAACCCAGCTGAAACTTTGTTCCCGAAGTTAACAAAATGCACTCTTCAAAGATATGGACCATCTGGTGGAATTCAGAACCATGATTTTTTATGTGTTATGACACTGAATGTCGTCAATGAAAAAATATTTGCAGTTCTATGGTTTTGGTACCTTCTCTTGTTAATTGTCAATGGCTTCAATTTGGCGTGGAGATTTGTCTCATACCTCACTGTCGTTAGCTGCTCAGGATCTGCATCAAGTATGTATTTTTCTCTAAAAAAAATTTAACTAATCATAGTTTTTCCCTCGACGTTTCGCTTCACGAAATAGGTAGCAGAAAATATACTTAAATGCACAATTTACCATGTAACTCATGTTCAATTTTCATTTAATCAAATAATATCGTACCTCACATTTCTGCAAGGCCAAGGGAGCATGATACCTACCTCATTTTTAAATCCTACAAATAACTCTACCAAAAGTAGGGTTTTATGAAGGAGCCAATAATTTCAGAACGCCAACTGATGTCACATTGGACGCTTTATCATCATCGAACGCAGAGAAGCTTCAAAAATGATATTTTTAAACCAAGATATTGAAACTGAGGAAAATTCCTAAGACTTTTGACGTGTTTTGCATGTATATGTCTTCTACTACTTGTTTCAGATGCCAAAAACAGAATAATGCTATTTGCGTCATGTTTGCCCTCTATCAAAGACCCAAATTTTTACCAATTTGTCAGCAAGAAGTTTTTTTACTCTGATTGGATGGTGCTTTCATTTTTACAGCAAAACCTTCCGACAACTCTATTTTTACAGTTGACCAGAGAAGTCACCGCTCTTTGCAAGAAATAGATTCTTCGACTTATTAATTTTATAACTTGTCAAACCAGTATCACTAAGTTTTTCAAATACTTTTTATTTGCAAAGTTTTCTTAACATTAGCATTCCATTAATGAATCAAGCAAACAGTATTAATTGTTAAGTATTTTATAATTTTACACATAAATGAAGTAAGAAAAAGTTATTTGTTCTGAAGAAAAGAGTTTTTAATCATTCATAGTAATTTCAGTAAGTGAGAAGTCGAACACAATTCCCCTGCATTTTTGAATTTCCCGCTTTAATTTTGAATTTTTGTCATTCACTCCAGGCTGGTCGTTTCCGAGCGAGAAAAAATAAACGAAAAACAGTTGTCGGCCCTGCTTCTTGCCAATATGGCGGACGTGTGCGTTGTTGATTAGTTTGTTTACATTTTCTCCGTTCAAGAAATTGCGTCCCACATTTTTATCTGTTCCGACAAAGTGATGAAGTGAAGTGTCGAATTTCTTACAGATGTAATCAGTTTCATTTTCTTTTATGTGAAAAATCATCGCTCTCCAGTGTTTCTTCAGTACCGTTTGGGTAAGTTCCAATGCCTTTGGTGTACCGCTGTTTCCAGGCCTGGGTCAACGGATCAATTTTGCCAAACATCTGCAGTCATTGCATAATTTCTCCGCTTATCAACTGATTTAGCTGAGTAAGTGATTTTTCCTTTGGTAATATTCGTGTCAACTGCTTTATTGATAGCCTTATCTCAACTCATGGATGGTGCAATGCATTACTAAAATTTATCTATCATTGTTTCTCGCCCATCGATAACTTCTTTATTGTTTCTAAACTTAGCTGTCCTTTGCGATCATGCAAAATTGTGTTATGTATTCCGACAATTTGTAACCATACTAAGTCTGTGAAAAAACCTTATTTTTTCATTTTGTTTTCAGGTTGGTATCCTGGACTTTCATCAAAGAGATCACAAGAAGAAAATGAGAGGTACGATTTTGGTATTAAAAATTCCAAGTAAGAATAGATAATCCCAGTCTAGTGTAGTCTCATGTTTTACAATATGCAGCAAGCCATTAGAAAGGCACAGATGTAGATTTCATGAAATTTCACTTATTAGCGTCGGTAATACTGCAAGAATAATGTAATTATTCTAATGGTCATGTTGTATCTGATAATGTATGAGCCAAATAAGACACAGAAACTCTTTAATGACAATTGCTGTGAACTGAAATATTTTCACTTTTTGTTAGTTAGGTTAAAGAGGAGATATCATTTTGTTTCTATTGAAAAAAAACAGGAATATTCTGCGCATGATTTCAATATTTGGTAGCTTATCAACAGAGACAAGCAACCATTGGAATAATATTTTTTTTTTTACTTTTCAAATACCCCCGAGGGGATGATCCTGCGCTTCCAGCTGGAGTCCCATCCCCTCTTAGTCCCTACCAACAACCAGCGCCAGGCAACCATTATTTAAGACCAGCATACTCGGGTTACCTGGCGGGGAAAGTAGCCTGGAGCTTCTTTATTTACAGTCAGCGGTATGACATCTACACCATAGGAGGCTGCTAAGGTGCCTTGGCTAAACTTACTGCAAGATTGTCAAGCATTGAGCTCAGAAGCAGTGGCGTGGCGTGCTTTGCGATATATCGATTGATCGGCCATTTAAACCTATGGAAAAGTATCGATTAACAGGGTGTTCGCAGCGAACACCTTAATAATCGATTATTTACCATAGCTTCAATTGGGGAAATATCGATAGATCGCAAAACACGCCACGCCACTGCTCAGAAGAGTACTTAATGGCTTGCTGTTTTGACGCGTTGCATATTCTGTAGGTGTGTTGCTAAACTCGCCGCAGATGGTGAAGAAGAATTGAGGAAACTCATTTCTCAAATTCTCACAATTCTTGCCTTACATTCAGTGCAAGTAATGTTTTTTATTTTTATTCTAGGTCGACCTCCCAAAATCAAATCAGTGTGCACATGGTGCAGAGAAGCAAAACAACCACTCTTATTTCTCTTTCCAACACAAAACGGCAAAAAGGAATTTTGTTCTGCAGTATGTTTATCTGAATTTCGCAGGGTAAATTATATTATCTTATTTCACCAATTTTAGTTCTAATTCTTTATTTTCTTTGTCGAGGGCAAGATAGATTCTTGAAACATTGGCCTTATGATCGGAAAATTTTTTCTGATATAGACCGTTTTCAATAATAGTTCGATGCATCGATTGGTTCAAAACAATAGAACATAACTTCAAGCTAATCTATTAGGATTTCAGTTGGAAAAGCTGAAAATGAGAAAAGTCCTAACAATTTCACTTTGCATTGGCATTTGGTACTCAAAAGAATGAAACATCAAAACATCTGTCACAAAAGACCTGTTCCCTCCGATTTCTAAATTGACTTTTGAGGCTATGTTTATGTTTTGAACCAATCGATATCGATGCAATCTCACCTGTTTGATGTATCGAATACGATCTATACAGTCAAACCTCGCCAGTGATATCATTGCATGTAAGTAAGTGTGTAAGATTTTACGGAAAAGATAAAAAAAGATGTATCTACGAAATAATGGTTGAGATAGATAATAAGTTTCTATCATGTAAAATGTTTCAAAACCAACTGAAAAGAATGACAACATTCGGCATTCATTTTGTTTTGCAAGAAAGCCATGTATATAGCCATACATATGAGTCTAGCCCGAGCCCTGTAGCGGATCTGTTACGGTTGTTTTAGCTTTATTATTTAGCCCCAAAACGTCCCAAAAAAATGTTTTAAACTTGTTTTAGGCTTGAGCCTGTACCTATTTTGTGTTTCCTGTATATAATATTCAGGCTATGAAAATTTATCTCGTCACATACCTAAATGTATTCACCTCTGAATCATCTGAAATTTTCATTTTTGAAACAAATCCCCTGCCTCTTTAGTTTGAATAATATGTAGTGTACTTGATTTGCTGAAATGTACTCTTCAAAAAATTGTTGAAATTTTAGTTTTCTAGATTCATCTTTTTCTTTTCAGGCTGCCTGTATGCAGTGCGGTAACGTGATTCTTGGTACTCCAGTTCGTTTAGAGTCTCCTAGCACACCCTCTAAAAGTTTTTGCACTTCAGTCTGTCTGACAAAACATCAAAAGAAAGACACCAAGAATGACGAGAAATTCAAATTCAATGGTAAGTGATATGCATAACCAAGGCACAAAGAATTAAATTGTACCGAATCAAATTTTTTATCGTGTCAAAAAAAATTGATCTGATTTGTTTAAGCCCAGTACATATTTGTGCACATACGTATATCGTCAAAGAGTCAATAAGTTTTAAATTACATTTCTAGCAACAGGTAAAAGGAATTTTTCCTTTGATGTCTGGATATCAAATTGTGGTAGAGATCTCCTGACTTAAAGCTAGAACCCCTTTCAGATTACTTTTCCACTTTTGTTGTTCGTAGTTCGTTATCCTGCGCATGCAGGAAAAGAGGAAAAGTAATCTGAAGCTGGCTCTACAAACGTATCTTCCTAGATTCATTTTGATGTAAGGCTTAAATTGCAAGCAGTCTGATTGCCAATGCATCTTACCTGTAGAGCTGTAATGCAAAACTGTGGACTGGAATATTCATCTTTAAAAAAATGGCTCCTTGGGGATCTGCGTTGCCGATTTTCCGTAAAATATCGTCATAGTTTAAGAGGGGGGGGGGGGGTTACATGAAACTGGAAAGAACCGATCATTTCAAAAAAATTTGTGGCCTAAAATTGGGTTTTCCGCGGTTTTCGATTTACCAAATTTTTTCGCCAGTCCTCAGAAATTTGTTATATCGAAGTTTTATTTAAATCCCTTAAACTACATGCGTTCAGTTTCTCCCTAAAATCATCTACCTCTATATGCTAGCCATGGTCAGAATGACAACCATAAATATTTTAAAGAATTATGTTGCATATTTATCCATCATTTCGTTCACAGAGTGTAATGATGTATCTAAAGTGGAATCTTCTACATCCTCAAGTCCATCTCCCAACTATCCATCCTCTGGTTATAAATCAGCAGCATCATCAGCCAATATACCCAAAGTTTTCAATTGGTCATCTTACCTTCAAGAAACCCACAGTATGCCTGCTCCTAAAAAATGCTTCAAGCAAGTGAGTATCTTTTTTTGAAATAACTTTCCGGAGGATTCTTGTTGGTGGTATAATTTTTTCAAATAGGTTTTGCCAGCAGTCAGGGGAATTGTATGTATTCCTAGTGTGAAAAATTGAAAAAAGGCAGTGTAAACTTAATCCTCTGTGCTGGCGTACTAAGAAAGCAGTCAAGTGTGCCTCGCAACAATAAGACGCCTCCTAACGGATTCAGACGTTGATCAATGCCTTAAGCATCATTACTGGAATTGTTGAAACTGAGTAACAAGACAAACTGGAGGTAAGAAGTTCCGACTTAAATAGGCTCCCAAAGTGAGGCAGAGTTGGAACGGAGAGTAACTCTTTACTCCTTGCCCCAGTCTGTTTGAATAAAAAGTCTGCACTCCTTCTCAGGTTTGCGTTGCTATACTATGCGTGCCTTGATCAAGATCCAAATATACAGTCAGAATTACCTATCATATCATGAAAAAATTATTTAATCCGTACAAATCTTTTTCCCATGGGTGTATGCAGAAATGAGTTTTAAGTTGAGCTTCACCATCCAATAAGCTCCTGTTCCATTGGTCCATTCGTCAGTTGTTTTCTGTAAAAAGTAGTCGCCGTATCTTAGTAACACTGTCAAATTATTTTGAGCAAAATTTTAACCAGTTACACTCCACCAATTTTATCTGCAAATGTATTATTATTACTATTATCACAGCAATGCTCCTAATTGTTCTGTTGTGTAAATTTTAGAATGTGGTGGAATTTTGGAGATGGTGTTTTTTGAATTGCACAATTGATAGGGATGACACTCAGAAATATATTTTCGAGTTCCTTCTTGAAAGTTCTAAGATATCTTTCAAAATTCTATTATTACATCTTGTTACTTGGAATGGTTATGGTTGGTGTAATTTTTTCTTAGAAAAAGAGTTGACCTTTTTCTGCTCAAACTGGTCTATATATTTATGTTATTTGAATGGATCTTTTGATTGTTAGTTTGTCTTTTTTAACTTTCAGCACTTAAATCCACCAGAGAACATGTTTGGAATCGGAATGAAACTGGAAGCTACAGATCCACGCAATGTGACCTCAACTTGCATCGCATCTGTAATAACTACTTTGGGCTCACGCTTAAGATTGAGACTCGATGGATCAGATGACAAAAATGATTTTTGGCGTCTTGTAGATTCAAATGAAATTCACCCGATCGGTCATTGCGAGAGCTCAGGAGGAATGCTTCAACCACCCTTAGGTATAAAAAAGAAGAAATAGGGTTTTTTTTTTTTTATTTCAAAAAGCGTGGAGCACTGAAATTTATTTCTGATAGTGCATTGTCTCATTAAAATGTAAATTGTTACAAAGAATTTTATTGATGATGTTCCTATGAAAAGGCGGTATGAAAGTGGTTGGTTAAATGGCATGTTGTGCATCAACGTAGAACCCTTTCATGGATCCACTAACAGTGGACGAATGAAGTGTTCCTCAAAAGTTTGTGCAGAACTTGTTCAACGTTTTTAGGTGTTCAAAGTTATTTGTAAAAGAGAAAGTAGCATTTAAAGTTCTCATTACAATTGGAGTACATTATGTAATGGGCCTGTTGCAAACTTTTGCTAGAGCAAAAATAAGAGTTGTTTCTTGTAGATAATGCCTCAAAAATCACGATGAGTGCATCGGCAAACACTGAAATGCACTCATAACTTCACAATCTGCGTAAGAAATTTGCGTTTTTTTAAGCTTCCCGCTTCAAAAACGATACTACGGCATAGGTGAACATTTTGTTAGAGGAGTCGCTCCATCGTCGCCAATATTCATCATGGCCGACGCTTGCTCGCAGCTCCGTGCGTGATTCAAGGAGAGTTCAAGGTCAATCAATTCGGGCGTGGAAAATATGAACGTTAACACACCGATTGTTATCCGGTCTAATCCAGTTCAGGTGTATCTCGTCCCATCAAACGTGTTTCGGCGGATTGGCGTCGGCCATGATGATTATTGCCGACGATGGAGCGACTCCTCTTACAAAATGTTCACCTGTGTCGTAGTATCGTTTTNAAGTGTTCCTCAAAAGTTTGTGCAGAACTTGTTCAACGTTTTTAGGTGTTCAAAGTTATTTGTAAAAGAGAAAGTAGCATTTAAAGTTCTCATTACAATTGGAGTACATTATGTAATTAGGAACTACAATGTCTGTCCCATCTGTAGAAAGAAAAATGTCCATAGGGGTACATATGATGTTTTTGAAGGGAGCCAGAAATTGTAGTTCCAAATTGCAAACTCTAGTCCAATTGAACTACTTTTTCAGCACACTGAACAAATACTGAGACAGATCCAATTGGAATAGAATACAGTCTTTTTAGAGAACAAGAAATTTGACTGGACAAATATAGAAAATGCTAATTTTTCAATCTCAAGTTGAATTTGGAACTTTTTAATAAGTCCACTCTGTTCAAGGTAAACTTTTGAATAGGAAGCTCGTGCGCTGGTGTTTGCCATCTGACCCTGAGCGGTTTTTTGTTAAGCTGTTCATTGTTGATAAAAGATGCTGGGTAACATATTATCAACATTTCACTGTATTTCTGATGTCTTGCTAGCATTAAGGAGCTTTATAAACGAAATCCTATAGCTTTCTAATGAGTGTTCCCTTTTTCTTTTTGCCGACAGGATTCCGAATGAATGCCTCCTCCTGGCCTGTATTTTTGTTTAAAACAGTCAAAACAGCAAAACTGGCGCCTGAGGAAGCCTTCAAAGCAGAACCACCTACACCCAAACGCAACTTGTTCGAAGTCGGAATGAAGCTAGAAGCTGTTGACAAGAAAAACCCTCAACTCATTTGTGTTGCCACAATTGGCGCTGTGAAAGATGACATGATTCATGTGACTTTTGACGGTTGGAGAGGTGCTTTTGACTACTGGTGTCGGTATGATTCTCGTGATCTCTTTCCCATCAATTGGTGCTCTGAGAGTGGGCATCCATTGCAGCCACCCGGTGATAAATCAATTCACCGTTATAAGCAGAACCCTGTGACGACGATTCCAGTGCCCAAAGCATCTCAGGTTACTATCACTGAGCCGGACACATCAACAACTCAGAAGTCCTCCGAAGCCGCGGCTGTTAATAGTGGGGAGGTCAGTGAAGGGAGTGAAAATAGTGAGAATAGTGAAGTCGGGGAAACAAGCGAGAGTAGTTGCGGTGAAGCGAAAGTTTCGAGCAATAAAATGCGCCGAGAGAGCAACAGCAGTAGTAGTGGATATGATACAAGTAACAGAAATTTGAATGTTAAAAATGATTTAAGTCATGAAAGCAACAACAACAAAAGACGATGCTCAGCCGAAACGACCACTCCATCCTCGCCCTTAGAGTTCTCTCCTCCACCCGCCAAGAAGACCTGCAAATCGCCTCCAGGTAATTAAACTCTTCCAACATCTTATATTCAATGTGCCTCTTTCACATTTACATTCCCTTCTTTCTTTTCCTTCTTTTTCCTTACATTCCCTTAATCACCATTTATTGAAATAATCTACAATTCATGGCAAATAAATGCACAACAAATAATAAGCACGAGGGTCATCCGAAAAGTAATTTCTCCTGTAAATGCGACCTTATCTTGAAACGCATTGATGGTTGGAAAAATTGGCTTGTTGCAAACTTTTGCCGGAGCAAAAATAAGAGGTGCTACTCATAGAAAATGTCTTAAAAATCATGATGAGCGCATCTGCAAAGTCTAAAATATACTCCGTACTTCACAATTTGCAAAAAAAAAAATTGCGTTTTTTCGAGCTTCCTGCTTCAAAAACGATACCACGGCACAGGTGAACATTTCGTCAGAGGAGCCATTCCATCCAACCTCTGCTCCCAAGGATACTACGCAATATTCAACATAGCCGTCGCCAATCCGCCAAAATACATGTGATGGGGCGATGATTCTTACCACCTGATGACAATTGGTGTGTTAATATTCACATTTTTCTGGCGTTGATACATATCTGCCTTGATTGACCTTGTGCTCTCCTCAACTTCTGCGCGGAAGCGTCGGCCATGTTGAGCAGAGATTGAATGGAACGACTCCTCTAACGAAATGTTCACCTGTGCTGCAGTATCCTTTTTGAAGCGGAAAGTTTAAGTAAACGCAAATTTCTTACGCAGATTGTGAAGTTAGGAGTGCATTTCATAGTTTGCCAATGCGCTCATCGTGATTTTTGGGTCATTATCTATAACGAACAACTCTCATTTTTGCTCTAGCAAAAGTTTGCAACAGGCCCATTGCTGACGAAGGCTCAGGTAGACTCCGTAGCATCCTGGGTAATCAGTTTTCAAGTTTATCTGACCCAAACACGATGTAGACTCGAGATGGGAGACTTTTCTGCAAACTTTCCCTAGAAAAATTCTGTCACAAAGGATTCATTCAGGGACCTCAAAGGCCCCTAAAAATTGGAAAATTAAGAAACTCAAACTCGAAAATTAAATTCATGTAAACGCTGATCTGTTTTAGAACTCCTTGGAGTTTTAACCTTGAAGAAGGAATCAGGGAGTCCTCCGAAGCGTCGGCGTTCATGATAATATAATTTTTGAGTTTAAGTTTCTTAATTTTCCGATTTTCCCGATTTTATTAATTAATTCACAGTTTATTACCTTGTTTCCCAGATTGCCTCGTATCCTTTCAGTTACTTTCGGTTTCATAGAGCTGAGAGTCCCCATCAATGATCCAGCATATTAAGCTACACTAACTTCAGAAAAACTGCATGTACTTGCCTATTTAATTTGTTTTATTTCTATAATCGAGTGTTAAGTTCAGGTGACTTATTTTCAAATTTTAATGATTTAAATGTTACATTCAATGTTTTGTCCAGCTGAATTAGAGGCAGCATCGTCAACAACACAATCAGAAACACCTACCAAGCTCGCTGTTGATCCTAGTGTGTGGAGTATTGAAGATGTGATTCAATTCATAACTACAACAGATCCATTGTTAGGAATACATGCAGATATTTTCAGAAGACATGTAAGTGTGCAGTATATCTTTCTTACCTTGAATTGTGGGATGGACTTGTTTTTTTATTTTTCCTACCTCTGCCTTAAGAGTTTTGAAGGCAGAATCTCACTATCCTCTTTTCTCCCCATTATTTTATACACATAAATGATTAATCAATGTCCATCCTTAAACAAATGTAGGTTCCATACTCCGTTAACAGATTCCATAGAAGTTCCCTCAGAACAGTGCCTGCCTTGCGTCTGTCTGATGTTTGCTTTCAGCAGACATATGTACAGCACTGCTGCGCCGTATGCCAGTGCTCTTTGATTTGTTTTTGGTCTCAATAAGCAGACAGCGTCCTGTGTGAAATAAATGAACTTTTTTGCCAATTTTTTTTGTTATCTTACTTCTTAGAAATCCAATTACAATTCCTGTATTTGGATTACCATTTTGGGACTACGGTAGCATGAGGCTAAAAGGCCACACAAGGCTTTCCAAGATTTAAAGGAAGATGTAATATGTTTGGATTGTTCAAATTAAAAAACTTATTATCTGTTTGAATGAAGCTTGACCCAACATTACATATTTTCCCATCTTACTGGAAAGAAGTATCCTTCAGAAAATGAGAAATCCACTAGGAGAAAAGTTGTCGCTGAGAATAATTTTTCATTACAAGACATTTGAATCAGCAAAAAGAGCTTTCTCTCGTCATTTTTTCAGAGAACTTTGATTCTTAGTGTATGCCACGGAAAGTGGCGGGTGAGGGGCAAGTCAATGATAGGTTTAAGGCAATGTTCAAGAGTACAGAGAACTAATCAAACTCTGCAACAGCCAAAAAGATCCTAGACAGGGAATGGCCTTCTGAAGTCAATAGTCGTCTATTGATTGACCTAGTAATTGATAACCGTTCAGTATGATAAAATCATTAGTGAGCCAAAAATAAATCATCTATAATTGCTATTTATTCGTTCGTATTTTGGGGGTTACAACCTTTTTTTGATATTTTCAACCACTTTGGGCAATTACTATTTCAGCACTGTTCATTTTGATTCTTTATGACACCTAGTACATTTATGGCTAAAAGCAAAAAACGGAATACAATGTTGAAAATTCAGTTGCAATGTTGGAAAATTGTTGATTATATTTTATTTCCTTTAAGGAAAAGTAATTGATGTTTCTCAACAATTTTGTATGATTTTTTTACAATTAGTAATTGAAATTTACAAAAAATTTTAAGAGAAACTGATAGTCAGTTTTCCTTTAAAAATATCAATCATGAGCAGCGATTTGCAACGTCACCATCTCAGACACGCATTTTCTACTTTAGACATAAGCATGCATCCACATCTAAAAAGTTCTTTTCTGCTAAAAATTAAAAATCAAAGGAAGAAAGAACGAAAAGCAGAAAGAAAAAATAGAGTTCATCAGTTTTCATAATCCCCAATTCAATTTGCCAATAAGTATTTTGTATTAGTGATTCTCGCATTGTTTGACCATCCTTTTTTCTATCTTTCAGGAAATCGATGGAAAAGCTTTTATGCTCCTTAACTCGGACATGATGATGAAATATATGGGACTAAAACTTGGACCAACATTGAAGATTTGTAACATCGTTACAAAACTCTGTAAAGGCCGCCGCCATTGAAATATTTCCGTGGTTTTACTCTTATCTCTCTGTCTAATTTCCTCAGCAGATATCCCTTTCCTTCACTAATTTTCAGTTTTTCTTATATCTCATCAAGTGCTCAAAAGTCATCAACTCAGTTTGATTTCAAGAATATTTTGTATTTTGGCATATGATCAAATTAGAGATGCCCACTATATTCTCGCCAATTTAGACATTGGTACCTGTGCATTCAGTCAAAGAATTCTTTTTTCTTTCTCGTGAGGTAGATCTTTTTTCAAGATCTTTACAGAAGTTTTTCAAAACACTGATGAACATGAACATTTTTGAAGTCGCACCTTCCTTCCCTGAGTTTGACCACCTCTTAAAATTTTGAGAAGAAGGTATTCCTACCACAATACCACAACCTGTGATGAATCTCCATTTTAAAAGTTATTCATGAAAACCTTTATCCGAGGCCACATTCCTGTAACAAATCCTCAAGAGTTCTTTATAAAACCGGACCTACTGTTTCTAATACGTTTGCCGATGTATTGAAATGAAACATTCTTTCCTCACAGAAACTAATGAGCACCCATGAAATATTTGAATGCAGGAAGTTGATGAGTAAAACAAGTAGCAAGAGTAATTTTTTATCCTAAACTTAGTGTCTAATAAGATGTTTACTTACTAGTCATGAAAATTAAGTTTTGCCAATATAATTATATGTTCATCTTTTTGGAAGGTTACATCCCCACTCAGCACGTGGTTGCCACAGGTGTTTACGAAAACGTTGCGACAACATTTTGCCATGTTATTTTTGGCCATTGCTGGGTGGGTGAGATGATAATGTTTGGTTAATAGATGTTTTCTATTCCTAATTCATCTAGTTCCAGTATCCAAGAGCTGTACTTTGGAAAATGTTGTATTTATATTTGATTTGTATTTTTAAATTTTTTCTTCGAGGTCAGTTATAGACCCTTGACTTTTTTGTTCATTTGTTATTGATTTATCTGTTTATTAATAGTATAGAAGTGTGTTTTCCTTGATGATCGGTTGAGCCAAAATGCCGCGACAATGGTGGTGAGATCATAATTGGATCATAATCAGGTTGGTAAATATTTGAAGTTAGACTTTCGGAATTGATGCTGGTTGGATACCATCATCTTCATCAGGTCATTTCTGAACCCTACTTTTCGTAGAAATATATTTTGGCTCCAACACTTCCAAGAATTCCACTTTCTATTTGTCCCAAAGTTGTTCCGAAAAATTATGATTGCGTCAAAGTATAGTACGAAATCTTTTTGGCTTAACCGATCATTAACAAAAATATGCTTAATAGTAAAGTATGGCTCCCATACCTATCCTCCATTCCTTTCAATCTGAAACGACTTATGAACGGAAAAAATGTCGAAGTAGTGTGCACTGCTGGGGGTGCTGGCCATGTTTTATCCCACAAATTAAGTTGTTCCATTTTGTCCAAATGTACCTAATTTATTCATTTTCATTATTATTTTACTTTTCTCATTGTTTCTTTTGATTATTTCTTGTTCAAAATTTTCCCTTAAATTTTCTCACTGAAAGTAGATCAGTAAGAAAATAATTGATCTTTTTGTCCTATATATTTGTGTACATATCCTAAAGACTTTAATTTTCTTCTCAAGATTTGAATGTTTTTTCTCTGTTTTGTTAAAATGGGACAGCAAGCAATGCTTTATAGAGTGGAGAAAAATCACCCGTTGAGCTGATTACTTGATGGTTAACATTCTCTTCTGAAACGCAAACATATGGAGTTGAAAAATTTTAACAAATCATTTTCTTTTGAAAATGTTGATCTCGTAAAGCTAACTCAGTCTTAAAATCGAGTTTTCTCTTCAAAAAATCTTTATAGATATTATTATTTTATTATTATTGCATTGGTGTTCTATTTGACCAAGTCTTATCTCTGTCTCTAAGAATAACATTTTGAATGATGAAGTTTGAGAAATGTGTATTATTATCAATTTTTTTCTATGAAGACCGAATACACTTACATCTACATTTAAATGTTACTAAAATGGTTTGTAAATGATCTCCATTAAATAACTCTAGTTTTATTAAGGAGTGTTAATTTCCAACACTGTATTTGAAAAGCATATCTCAGTTCTGTAATTTCAATTTTATTATTATTATGTTTTCTTGACTTTTCGCTAATTTTTTTTTAAACATCTAAATGAACGATAATTTATTGTGAGGCTGATTCATCTCATATTTTATGTGTTTCATTTATCATTCAGTGTATTTTAATGTTTATCTATGAAAGTACAGTCTGATTGAGTTCCCTTACATCCAATAGATCCATTCTCAAACAAACATGTGAAACTTGTGAATCATTGTTCTCGTCTTGTCGCAGTAGAAATTTGATGTAAAGAAAAAATATTCAAGTAGTGGAAAGATACAAACCATATTTTTATGATTAAGTAAGATAATTACCTTGTAAGATCTTAACTTTAATTCTTAACTGATTCGTGGCTCCTCAACCATTTTGATTAAGTATCTCATAAGCTTCTTGTGCATTTGAAAATACGTAGAATGAGTTAAGTATGCTGAGTGGCAGCTTAACATGATTTAAATGAATGAACACTAAGTTTGGCTACAACAGCATTTTCTTGAGCACCAAGTGAAAGTTGAAAACAACAAATAGTCAGCAAATTTTCACAATCTGATGTGATACAATTTTTAAATCGGTGAACATTTAGAATGAATGAATGTTCACCCAATGAATGTTTCCTAATGTTTGAAGAATTTTTCAACCAGTCGGAGTCAAAAATGGATGAATCAAAGAAATCTGCAAAAATGAATAATTTAATTTGCAGACAGCAGGCTGGAAAGAAAATAGTATCAATTAAATCTGAACCTTAACTGTTTCTATGGATTGGGTCCATGTACTTTTACGAAAATGCACTTAGCACTTAATTTTGAACCGTAGAAACTTTAATTGAGAGTATTGTACATTACTAATAAATGAAAACAGGACTTTTTGAGGCGCAACAAATAATTTATGATATGATTAAAGTAATATTGATTTATGTTACCACTGGTTGCATTAATTCAATTATGGGTTCTCCTTTCCAGGTAAATTCGAAATTTTCAGTTGTTGGAACAGGTTTAAATGTGACACCAACGAATATGATGAGAAAAAAAGCAAAAAAACTTTAATATGATATGATGAGAGAACATATCTTATTTGATCCTGAAATTTCACCCAGTGTGTTCGCAAATTTAAACCATTTTAACTATAAATTTTTTGATCACTCATTTCTTTAAAGAAGCAGTTTGCCTCTGAATATATGTATCTATGTGAATACCTCTGTAAGGGTCACGAACTGGTTTTTGACTGCTGGTTGTATTTTTCAATCGTGTCAAAATGCACTTAAGAGTATGCTTTCATTGATTTTAGTTTGTAAGCTGTTGTTGTTCTTTTAAGTCATGAAATTCTTTCAACTGATAAGCATTGTGATAAGATTGTTATCAAAACTTATAATTTTATTTTTGATTCGATTGTAAACATGTAATTAAAGTTTATTCGCAAGGAGTCTTTAGTTTTCAGATGTTGATGGTTAATTTATTGTTACTGATTGTATTTTGAAATGAAGGTTGTGGCACCAAGAAAATGGCAACTTTTGCATTGTTGAACTGCATGCTTATTTCATGTGTTATACTTGAAATTTTTCTCAAGTTAAGAGAAACTTTAAAAACTTGGGGGGATGGATCGATTAAAAGTTAAAGCAGATACTCTGTTAGCAACATGTGCATGGGTAACAATATGGAGCCACTGTTAACATTCTGCCTACCCTATTGCCAACAGAGGTAATGGTAGTTGTGCTGCGTAACTTTTCTGAACAGTTATCATACAAATTTTAATTGCATGGAGGTTGATTTTGATAACGTTTTCTGTTCGTTTTATGAAGCATGGATTACTGTGAAATCAAGGAAGCATGGTATACTTCGAAATCAAGACATTAACTATGCTAAAGTTGTATATTTCTTAGTGGCATTAACCTTCTCCTTGTATAATGTCATGTAAAATTATTGTTGTTGCGTAGACTCCGCTTTCTACAGCAGCAACTACAGTATACCTACATGAGAATGGATTTGAATAAATTGTGAAATTGGTACATATTTGCCTTTTTTTATTGACCTTGTTCATTGGGGTTTTTTTTGAGTATACATTGTAGACATTTCCACACTGAATGAGATGTAATCGGTAATGAGTTGCATTAAGGCGCCTCATAATTTTTAGGGATAACTGAAAAAATTTGTAACTCAAAATTGTTTGACTACCTTCATTTATTTGGATAAAAAAGAGCAAATAAAAATAATCATTTTGAACATTGAAAAGTGAACGAGGAGTGTTGGAATAAGTGGGTAAATAAATTAATATATGAGGACTTATATGTAACAACAGCGGTTGCTGACATCCGCAATTTTTAGGGCAAACGCTTTTTTCAAATGCTGGAACCCTCAAGAATGCCTGTGCAAAGTTAAGACTTCTAGGACAATTTTTCGGCGAGATAGGAACTGAAAACCATGTTATTTCTAAAAACAGCGGATGTGAGAATCCACTGTTCTCCCCCGCCGGCGCGGCAGGACATGGTAGAGATTCGAATCCACTTGCGATAACTGCCCGTGCACCGACCATGGGCCATAGCTGACACTCAAATTATATGTATCGGGACAGTCTCGCCAGAATTATTGATTTTTTAACTGATTTTATAATTTGTTCCTTATTTTTGTTCTAGAAGTTACAAACGGTCTAGTTTTTCGTTCAATTGTATTAAATGACTCAGCATTGACTTACTTTTGGTTCATTTCAATCGTTTCACCAGCCTTAACCATCCTGAAGACTTTGTTTCATGCGTAAAAAAACATTTTCAGTAAAAACAGCGGATGTCACATTTTTTTCCAATCGTTGTTACTCCTTCAATTTTTCACTTACATAGATCGCAAAACGTGTGTTTTTTACAGGAAGGGTTGCTCTTCATGAAAATCTTTATGAAAATCCTCTCGGTTCTACGGGCGGCAAAGTGCAAAGCTTCGAAAACTTCAAATGCTATTTTCTCACAATGTGAAAACTTGACATCCGTTCTTGTTACAGATAAGTCCTCATATTCTTATAAAAATTTAATTACAAACTATCCTGATCACTTTGCTGCCATGCAAGAATTGCATTCATATTGACGATATTACGAGTGCTCCATGGCTCTAGTGGATCAGGTGGAGACGGCAGTGATTCTGGGATACCATTAGCAGAAATCCCTCGACGCACAGGAACATCGGGGGTTGGCGCAACCCTGAAATTAAAAATGAGCTAATGTCCATTAAAAACTTCTTTTTTTCACTTTTATAAAAAGACAAATGAAAGATATAGAACAATTAATGGAAGGAAGTGAGCCGGGATGGGCGTTCCACTCCCTGGTGGACGGACCCTTTACATTCTATGCCTTGCCTATGATCAGGTCGTAATAGCCAAGATGCAGAAGATGTGGCTTACATCGTGCGAAAATGGGTAGAAGAACATAGAAAATGGGTCCCAAGAGAGAGAAGCTGGTTATGGGAGCAGCGCAGGAACGGCAAGGTATTGAGTTCAAGGATTTTCAATGAATAGAGGGGTGTGATGAGAATAAGTATCTTTAACTTTGTTTTAAAAAAAACCAGCACACAGAAAAATTCTATGATAAAAAAAGTGTATCGTGAAATTACATAAAAATACTCAAAAATGGTGGTTGTAAAATTTTAAGTTAAAGTAGAAATCTGGTACATACACACCTGTTGACTTTAGCTGTTTTTGGCCTTAACCTCTCTTGACTGTTTCCACCTATGTATTTCTTCGGATTTACAGCCACAATTTCAGCTGTTACCGGTCTAGGAGGTGGAGTGAGCCTCAATTGAGAAGGAGGATTTGTCAGGTCGAAATCTAATGAAGTATTTGAACTTGAGTCTTCATTCTTAGATGAAAAAAGTCTTTGTCTGTCTGAATAGCCATTCCCATTCGTAGAAGATGCTTTTTGCTGCTTCAGATGTGCAGAACGAACTCTGCGCACACGACTACCTCTTCCAAGAAGAGGTCCATCTGAAAAACATGAAGTAATAATTTGATGTTAAATGGCATTAAATAACTTTCAATCATTAATTTTGTTTTAAAAAATGTATTTATTTTTTCTCTTCCTCTCTACAAATGCATAAAACTAATGGTGGAACAAGAGTTACAATTCGACGGTGTAAGTCGGCAATCACATAACTCAGTTTGCGACGTCGCAGACTTCCTTTCATACTTTATTTTTTAAACGTAAAACTACTATATGGCAATTCTTTAAAACTTCCGTGATTTTTCTTCTCTGTGCGAAGAAAATTCTGCATAAACTTCAAGGAATGCTGTCAATTTGTTCTCTTTTAAAAAATAACAGAGGCGGAGATTTTCAGACATCGCAAACGAGTTATGTGATTGCCGACTTACACCGTCGAATTACTTTAAAAAAGTGAAAAAAAGAAATTAAAATTATTAAATTTTTCAGTTTTGGGTAAAAGCATGAGACAAGAATTTTAGGTTAATTTGTCTGTACCTTCTGAAATTCTCTGTAGGCATACTAACCTCCAAGTCCATCACTGTCACTTGGTTCTAGATGAAGAGAGGGCAATCGAGGTAATGCAGATACAGGCTCAGGTGTAACCACAGGAGTCGGAATATCCTGAAAAGTACAAACAAAATTTTAAAAATAAAGGAGGATCACACTTTTGTGTCATGCCTCGGGTCATATCCATGACGGCGTTTTAATGCCGTCTTGGATTTTGCGGCATGTTAAGTTGGGTTCACTGCCGAGTGTGATCTGCTGATGAGGTCTAATAAGGCCCAAACTGGTATAGATCTCTCGGCGTGACTCTAACTTAATATTCCAATGCAAACTGCCTGAGCTGAACACTCTCCCCCCTCAGTTTCGTACTGGTGCACATTAGAGTTCTAAAAATTTATTTTTGACTCTAATTTTAATTTTTGGTATTTCTTGGCTTTGTTTCCCCCCTAAATGGTGAGAACCCAGAGCCATTTCTCCACCTTGTTACATACAGTTTGGGCCACTTCTTAGTTTTTAATTTTTTCATCTGAAAAAATATATACTGTAATTTATAGAAAGATCCTTGAAAAACAGATTCCATCACTTGAGGACCTTACTCACATCAGGCGCAACAACGGACATTGCAGCAGCATTTGCAAGAGCTGCTAATTCGGATTCATCAATATGAGGATTTTCTGCTTCAATCACCAGCTGCCGGAATGGGTCATGGAATGGTTGTTCTGGAGGAAGACCTTCAGCTCCACTGCGAACGGAAACACCTAAAAACATACAAAACCACTCTCATTAATGAGAAAAATATTATATTCTAAAGACTGACTATGAAACCCGGATATCATGTTAGCATTGTTTCCAGGATAAAAGTGCGTTTGACCAGCCCATCTAGCCGGCGTTCAATGAGTTCCGTTACGAGCATGTAATTGTTTGCCTAAGTCGCCGCACAAAGCTAGCATTGATGATTGCTCTTTGAGCAGCTTGGCAAAACATCAGAATACGCCTTAATCACTCCTACAGAACTATAGTTTTGAGCGATCCCCCAAATCAGCATTGTATGAGTACGTTAAGAAGTTATCATGCCTAAAAATAATATGAAATAAAATAAAAAATGGCAGCTGATCTTACCACCAAGGCCAGAAACTGTGACCGGCGTTTGACCAATATTTAAGTCTATGTCGTGGGTGAAGGCCATTACGTCCAAGGCAGCTGTCAGCGCTCCACCAAATGGACCAGTATTGTTTGCAGCATTTTCTTCTTCACTATCTTCAAGTAATAGAGCCCTAAGGATGAACAAAGAATCCAATATTTTTTATCCCTAAAAATCCTATTATTTTTTAAGGGTGAATGAAGGGAGCAATCCTTAAAAATAAACAAACAGATGCTCGACAGCTACACCTCCTGTTCTTTCCCTTGTCAACATCCATGTCCTATTGAGGGACAGGGATGATGATGATCTATGAAGGTCCTTCAGAGTTGGGCAAGAATGATACTTTGTCCGTACTAGCCAAGCGGTGCCATTTAGCTAATAATAATGGTAAAAAGGTGGAGTTCGTCCATTTTAGGGAACTCACTAGAAACATTAGAGACAGACTTAAGTTGCGACCGCTCAAGCTCTTCATTATAAAATTTCAGAAATTAATGAAGACTATATTCTGAAGAACATCTCTGATCAATTGAGATTTTGAACATTTCAATCTGTTTTTCTCTTTTTACGACAGTATCTCACTTTTAGCCATTCTTATGGCTAAGGAAACATCATATTTTCAGAAACCTTACTGCAGGGAGCCTCAAAGACAAAGATGGATTCTCCTAGATACGAAGCTAATCGATGGCAAAATTAAACAACGTATCTTGATTGCGGTATTTTAAAATCTCCTCTCATACTTCACTTTTTTATTGAGAGCAAATCTACATCATTCCTTGAAATTATCACGGAATATACTTCATACAAAAAAAAAGAAATCACGAAAGTTTTAGAGAGACGACATTGAGTAATTTTCCTCGGAAAAAATAAAGAATGACACCATTGACACCTGCAATGTCGCAAACCGAGATACAAAGTTTGGGAATTTCACTATCATAATGTCTTGAATATGTAATCGGTTACTGGTAATGGAACGGATGCTGGAGCTCAAGGCAATGCAAAAATCCGCGGACAATCTATGTCACTCACTGCATGAACTACGACAAAGTGTAAAATGTAACCTGAGAGGTACTATACTTACATGGCAGGCTGTCGAACTGGTGTCGATATGGAAGCTCGTCCCCACATGATTCGATTCAGCTGTTCACCTGTCATTCCTCGCTTCCGTAATTCATTGATGGTGACTTTACCAACTCGCTGTGATAAGATAAAAATTTAATCGAAAAGAGTTAACAATTTAAGGTCACATAAATATAAACAACAAACTGAGTGAGAAGAGTTAGGCAAAGAGGAAGTAGACAGGAAGAAGTATTACAAAGATTATGGAGGAATGAGGAGAACATTTTTGATGAAAAGAAAAAAATATACCCCTGGAACATCTCAAAACATTATTTTTCTTTCTGGACTAATATCCATGGAGAGTATGTTGATACCAATTTAAACTCATGGATAATTTTTTAGGGAAGATGTTGGTGACTAGAGTTTAAAAAGAATTCATTTGTAACAAAGATGAAAATTTTCACTTAGAATGGTATAATTGAGCTTGAATAATTTCTGCCTACATATGAAATTTCTGCCAGGATTTTGCTAAATTAAAAATGAAAAATTAAAGATAACAAAGATTTAAGGAAATCTGTTTTGCTGACCAAGTTGCAAAACATTTGTGCCACCAGAGAAAACTGTATGCAGATTCAAAGATTTACGAAGCAGAGTAAATGTACTGAACTTCGTTTTTTCCTTGTATTTAATTTTTCATCATTTCGAGTGCAGATCAATTAAATTTCTATTAATATAATCTATTGCCAATCACCCAGTACAACAGCAAATTACACACCTTCCAGTTGGATACAGCTCCTTTTCTTTGCTTGGCACGTGTTTTGCTCTTACTTTTGATTACCATGACACCTCTTTGTTCCGTTGATGGATCATCGCCAGGCCCTAGTTTTATGCTGTACTCTTGCAAATAGTTATGCGCATCTGCTGCGGGAACAGCTCGCTCCAGAGCAACAACAATTTTCGCCCACTGAAAAAATTTCAAACACTGCAGGAGAAGAGAAGAAAGTTCTAGGAAGGCTTCAATTTCACTATAAATCTGTAATTGCAATTAATTTCGTTAGTTATAATCGAATTCAAAAATCCCAAATCGCACAGCTCTACTTGACATACATTAACTGTTTTATTTGCATTTAAGTGGATTAAACCCAACATTGCTGACTTGATAGAATCGCAACTGTGCAGAACTTGCATAGCATTGGGTCGAACTTTAAATGCATCAGGAACCAATAATTTGTTTCAGAAATATTTTCAAGAGACCTCTCCAAGCTTCTCAGAAAATAGAATAGAGGCCTTGTTCCTTCCCGCAAGTAATACTCTGGCTATCCCCATATTTAAGTTTCTTGGGATACTTGAATCTTAAAAGTGAAGGAATACTAAGAGATAAGAATAAAGTGTAATTACTTGCTTCATCCATTCCTTTTCACTGCGTTCTATGACATGAGCGTAGGTGTTACCCATCATAGCGATCAACATGTTCAGCAGCAAGATCGGCACCAGAACCATGAAACTAGTGAAAACTATCTTGCTCAGAGTTGGATACACGGTGAAAGCCAACTCTGGATACTGAAAAATTAAGAAGAATCAATACAATACAATTGCACAGAAAATAAAAACCAAATATGTTCACGTTAGAGAGAGACAGAGAGAGAGAGAGAGAGATATCCTGACTTGCCACAGACAATTCCAGAGAAAAAAGTTGCAACCAGGTAACTCACAGGTTGTGATTAGCTGTGGTTACATGGTAAATTATTGTTGGAGCACTGTAGTGTTGCATGCATTGCCTGGTCTTTCTACTAATTGAACTTATTTATGAAGAAGAACTAGAACCAGAAGAAACTATATACATAGACTTTGCACGCAACATAGTTTTTTTTAGCATAAATATGTCCAATCATAGTGAGGGCTTCTTTTATCGACATCCCAATTTGCAGGAAGTGAGTGTATTATTTGAGAGGCAGTGTCCGTTTTTCAATGAATGACTCAGGCAACCCCCTTCCCCCGATCACGCCCAAACTTTCACAACTTGCTATTTTTAATCGGTTGGGCTGATTGCGCTCCAAATCAATACCGACCGAGTCCTTGATAAGACTTACATGCCATAAAATTTCAGCTCCATTGCCTCAAACCTATTCGAGTTATAAAAGATGGACATGATTTGACTCTCACTTTGTGCTCCCATTTTCCAAAATCTATGACTTCAATTTTCACTTCCATTTTTCAAATAGCAGTCTAGATTGTACGCTACATGCCACAAAAAATTCAGTCAGGAATAGTCAAAATTCGTTGAAATATAAGCCTTCAAATCCGACAAAATCATTGATGGTCAGAATATACACTACAATTTCAAATTCTAATTATCAATTTACTTGACTCCACAAAAGTACAAAAATAGACATCATTGAAACTCACATTATAGTCACCCAAAGTAATTTGGAAGAGAGCCATCCAAGTTGTTGGATAAGAGTGAAATAAAGTTTGCTTCACATTTGGCGAGCCTTTGTACAAGAAATAGAATGACTGAGAGAACCCAAACAAAAGAATTGAGTAGATAATTCCGAACGTAAACATATCACCAGTAATCATACTGTAGATCATTGTAACAAAGGGACCAGTCAGCCGCACAGCCCTAAAAAATAAAAAGAAATAGAATGAAACCCATGAACACCGATATTAGCTTGTTTCATCCATGTTTTAACTTACAGGAAAATCTAACAAATCTTAATATTCATAATCTCAGTATGATTTGCATACTTTTATGCTTCAGCTGTTACTTCTGGGCAAGATTAAAAAGTTAGATAGTAAAAATTATACATTAATAAAAAAGTGTGGGGGTAAAATCGAATTACTGTTACTCTGGGGAGCTCAGAAAAGACTCAAGGAACTCACTGGGGAGTTCAAGGACTAGCTTACGTACAACTAATTCAAAAATTCATGCTGCATTCAAATTTTATAAAATGATGGACATATGCTGCCATTATATATGAAAAAAACAAAAACACTGTATTTAAGAAGTTAAGTGTAGTGTGTCATAGACCAAATTAGATATTTACAAATAGAAAGCTTGGCTTTGACGTAAAATTGACTAATATACACTATAAAATATTCACGAAATTGTAATGTTATTTTATATTTTAGATAATCAATGCATGATTAAAAGATATATTTGTTTTCAAAGAAAGAAGACATCCAATAATCACATCCATGAGTGTTTACGTTCGAGAACACATGTCCTACGAGAAGATCAGCTTTTTTAACATCGATTTTACTGTTAGAATCTAGCACTGCAGCTGAGACATTTATTTTAATTTTTTTTTTTGTGGTAGCATGTTTCTCTCCACCATTTTGACGTGAAGAAAATTTCGGAAAAGAAAATTTTAATCACTTTAATCAAATTTTTCCAATCAATAAAAATTAATTGAAGAGCTTTCTGGAAAAAAGGCACACAGCAATAAATCGCGTATGAGAAAAGTGCATCTTAAGTTCCCATCATTACTTTTCGGTCACCGATGATTACTCACATCGCAGCTTGGACTCCCAATTTCGAACTTAAGTCACCGTCAGTGGCCATAGAATAAGGATGGAAACTTTGAATACATTTTTCTCAAACGTGATTTTTTGCTATGTGCCCTTTTTCTGGAAAGCTCCTCAATTATTATCTTCCTTGTATATTCACTTGCGTATGTTGTAAAATAGATTACTTACCTCTAAAAATTTTTCTGGTTATAATCCGTAATAATGACCTGACCTCAAATCATTCATCAAATTATACATGCAAATACTGACAAAAATGGCTGTTGGTAAAAATTCATAATCTTTTTTCTCCCGTAGACATTTATGTCATGAACCGATGTTCAACTTTTCAATTTTCAACAATTTTTTTATTGGACCGATAGAGAATTTATCTGAAAGAGGTATAAATTTACGAACCCAGCAAAAAACATTAGTAGAAACCATGACCCAGGAACGGCTAAAATTAAAATAGCCTCTTCTGTTTGCGAGTCCCCTGCCATCCGAAAAGGGATGCAAGCCAGAATTAGAAGATTTGAAACAAGGAATATTGCTTTGGCTGGTTCTGCCATCTGTAAAACAAATAAAACATACAATAAGATCAGAAAATTGTCATATGTACCTGATCGGTGGTGATAATGCTACTTTTGTTTGGAGGAAACAAATGGACCAACTTTAATCAAAGTGCACCACGCATCAAGTTTGAATGGAGAAAAGAGGTTTGAAGTTTTATGAGATTTAATGTTAAGGAAAAAGTTTCAAGACTAGTTTCACGTTCGAAATACTTTTTTCTTGACTTGAAGTTCTCAACAGGAGTAAATACATGACTGTTTGAATTTAAAACAAACTAACAACTAATTGCCGTCTAAAATGTGACTTTATGCGTTTCTATTAAACTCAGCCTGAATCACAATAATTTCATTTTTGGAGGATAAATGGCGGAAGTTGGAGGGGGGGGCAGAGGGGTAGACTCTCATTGAAAATTATAAGATCGGAAAACAAATCTTCGAAAAATTGTTCTAAACCTCTATGAGCCAGTGGTTAGAAAACATTCTGAGAATGTTTCAGGTGGTAAAACATGTTTGATGATGAATAAGGCTATATTTGTGAAAGAAAATGTAATATAAAACTTAGTATGAAGTGATAACTTACATTTAGTATTAAGTTTAGTATTAGTGTAAATTTTAGTGTTATTTTTTTTTTGTTTTCTTTTTGGGCACTGATCTGAGTCAACAATCTTCGACAGAGAAAGAATAGCAGCGTGGTAGTCAAATGCTCAATAAAAAAACATGAGTAAATTTTAAGAGAACCTTAACTATCAAAGCTTTTGGTGTCTTTGCTTTGTCATTAAGGTCAAGAGTAAGGAATTAAGTAAATTCATAGACAAAATAAACTTGCCTTGAGATTATTAGTTAATATCATCTATGAACAGGTATTGTGGAGTACTTTCAACATCTGGCACTGACGCTTGCCCCGAAACACTGAAAAATTTTGATATTGGTTTGATAAATTGTAAGATTTTCCACTCACAAAAAACAATGTTTTTTATTTTTCTATCCAACTTTTGGCTGACACAACATCATTCTATCCCTGTTTGAGGCTGTTGATTCAGATACAGCAACAAAAAAAAAAAAAAATAGAATGTTTCTTACCAATTGCTTCAAGAAACTTCCAAGACCTTGATTCTTAATCTCCCCACCTTGTTGTACAACTAGATACGATAAAACGCCCATGATAGTGCCAACTTCAAAACCGTATCGCGCAATATCCGACCAGTCATCTCCTCCTATAAGAGGCTGCTCCCTGTCCACTGGTCTCAGGTATACGGCCATACTTAGCATGAGAAGGTGGAGAAACAAAATTGCCAGCCGCTTTAAAAACTGGCGCTGAAACAGTCAATGAGCAAATGTTGCTAACCTTGCACCGAAACTCCTGACTAAAAAACTAAAATTAATTTTTAAAGTAATTGATTTTATCAAGATGCAAAGGTGTCATCTACGGTACTAAAAGTATTACTCACAGTGCCAGAAATACAAATTTTGAATCATGCTCATTTCTACAAACATTTTTGAAAATTATTGGACACCTTAACTTTTTTCTAATGGGAACCTTATGAGGGGAAATGTTTTCATGGCCTGCTTACACGTCAATTTTGCATGTTATTTGACGTTCAATTTTCTGTTCTTTTCTGAGTAAGCTAGCCATTGACAAAAGAGAAAATAATCATTCAGCTTTTAGATACTTTTTGCTGAGCTCACCAAAAACATGAAGATCTCTCCAATAAAATATAACGAGTAAATAACAACAACTGATACCTGGAAATGAAAGAAGTGGAAGGTAATATATCTGCAGATTATCTATCCTGGAGCTTCTATCGCAGTCTCATAAAAGAGCTCATTCACTTTAATAAGATTTAAAGTAAAAGGAAAAACTGTTAAAAGTCATGAGCTTTATCAGAAAATATTTTACCATGCATACTAACTTTATTACTTTGAAGTTTGAGCAAATGATTTTTCAATATTACCAATGTGCTTTTAACACTACTACTATCAGAAAATAGTAAACAAAGCTTACTCTTGCAAACGTTTTCCACTTCTCCTCCAGTAATCGTTGAATGATTCCACCATCTAACATGTCTAGATGTTCTTCTTTGGTACCATTAAGAATGATGAACAGAGCAGAATTCCAGTCTAGAATAATGATAGAGGATAGGAGCAAAATAAATTAAAGTGTACTTAAAAGTCGAATTTCAAAAGTTTCAGTCACCAACTTAATGCCTAAACTTCGGCATAGTCGTACGAAAATACAATTTGCAGTTTGATTTTGCTCCAACAGTATAACTATCAAAGGGTGATATGACATCGCTAAAACTTATTTTTTCTCTTCATCATACACCAAAAAGTTAAAAATTGCACATTCGTCCCAATAAAATTTTGAAAAATCATAAAATAAGGGCCAGTCTGGTATTCATATCACTCTACATTTTCCTTTGTAAGGAGAAAAACGAAAGAAGTATACATAATACTCACTAGTTCGTCCGTCAGGTAACAGGGTATCCAGAGCATTTAAAGGGTACGCTGAGCATGTTATGTTGCTGTACCTCCAAAATTCCCTTGCGCTCAGTTCTAACATTTCACGAAAAACTTCTGCACGGCCCAACTTGCAGGCTAATGTGAGAGGCGTGAGGCCAGCTGTGTTGGTAATACCATTACTGGCTGGCAGTTTTGGATGTCTCAAAGCATAACCAAACATGTCCTGGAGACAAAAAATAATAATTATGTATCCTTCTCTCTGGAAGAGGAATGACGATTTGTTTCAGTCCCTTGTTCATCTTGCCATTGAGAGAAACTGAACTTTGAGATAGGAAAAAGACATCAGAATTGGTGACTGAATCTGCGAGTAAGAAATATTGTCTTCTACATGAAAATTGTTCAGAGGTGCAATATAGAGCAAGTGAGATTGTTAAAATTATCAAGATTAAATTTTTGATGGAAAATGCCTTCCGACATCTGTAAGAATAATGAAATATTGTTTCCTGCATGGGCCTCTGTTAACTTTGTGATGCGGTCAGCTTTCCCTGATCACATTATCTCTTGCTTTCACTTCAAAACAAGGAGAGCATATAAAAATGTACATAGATTAGGTACAATAATAATAAAAATAATATGGGGAAATAATATGTTCTCCACATTATAAGTGATGTAAAAGGCCATATTGGATGACTCCAGTACCAAAAAGAGTACTTTCTTCTGAAAACAAGTAAGTATTTGGAAAAGGGGGCCTTCTGGAATTTTTACATGTACTCTAAAGTTAAATTTTGCAGTTCTTGCACTTTAAGAGAAGAACTTTGTGATTTTTTGTGTCTTGGGATCAAATTATTGTCAAAATGCCTACTTGTACTTTCCTCTTTTCACAGTTCCTACCGGAAACACAATTATCAACTATGAGGACTAATTCCCATGACACAGTTGCAGTCAAATGTATTTCTTCTTCTTTTTCTTTAAAGATAAAATAAGATGAAAAATTTCATTGACACAAGTTTTAATTCTTACCAACTTGTCACAAACGACAACCATGTGCAGAATCATATTCCCAAAAGTGTCCTGCATGTCTGGATGGGCTCCTGAATCTAGAAGTAGATTGTAAACTGATTCATTGGCGCAACAGGCTGCCCACGAAAGAGGAAATTCTCCGAGGTAAGCCAAACCTTCGTAATCTGTGTGTTTAGCAGGTCTCGGTCTTTGCTGATCTTTGGGCAGGAAAAAGCTACCTGCAAAATCAGGAAAATTCAGAATGTAAGACAATAATTTGGATCTAATTCAAGAAAAATTGTATACCTTCTGAGCTAACTCAGAAGAGGTTTCAAGGGAGAATAATGTCAATGTGAGATCAGAAGATAGTAAACAATGTTGGAAGAAGTAAAGATGACGTTGAAAGTGATTAACTCAGCCAAATCTGATACTTACAAACTTAATATTTTAAAATATTTTGTTATTAAGGAATAACAGTGGAACTCCTCAAATAGTTAGTTCCTGTGACTTTGGTACTTAACCGATGGGTTTGCTTGTCGTCTACAAAAAATATGTAAACTCTAAAATGCACATCAAAATCATTTCAAATTTTCTATGCTCTTTTTATGTTGTTTAAAAGAAAAGCGAACCAATTTTACAGTTGGACATTTTTACTGAGTATTTTTCACATAGGAATAAGAAAAAATTATACATTAAAAAAGTTGTTGAGAAATGACGTTGGTCAATTTTTGACTTGAGAATATAAAATGCTAGAAAATTCACAACATTGAGTTGAGAGCTAGGCTTTAGGGCTTAGTCATGAATGTATGCATAGGTAGCAACACAGGATTCATGGGAATGAGTGCTCATCAAAGTTTTTCAGGTATTAGATGATTCATTTATTCACCTATTGCTCTTTGATTGACATTTGCTCCTGCTTCTACCAAATCCTGGACTAATTCGTTATTATTGTATGCAATAGCAAGGTGAAGAGCACTGGCACCTGAAGAAGAAAAATTTGAGTTAAATCGATGATTAGTTGATTATAATTCTTAAAACTGATGAGACAACCCCATAATGGATTCTCCATGCTGCGCAAAAGCATTTTTACACTTATATTTGTTGCTGATACATAAAATGGCAAGTTTAACCTCTACTTCCAGCAGCGGATAGATTCTTAATTCTTGTCATGAGAATTATAGTTTTGCCAAAAAAATGTTATTTCACTTATTTCCCTGATCTTGAAAGATATGCAAGAGACTCTAAATGATGGAAAACTTTTACCATGGATACAAGCAGACAACCACACTCCTTTGAAGACTCAGACTGTACTAGAAAAGCAGGAGCTGCCAACACATGTAGCATTCTTTATTTTTTCTTTTTTTGGAATGATATTGTCCTTTCATGGATCTATGAGAATTGTTTAAATAATAATTTCAACTCTTACCAAGATACTCTTCTCCTTCTACAATATCTTGAGCCAATCGAGGGAAGCACTTAAGCAATGTGCGGGCCAGGCGAGTGTTGGTTTTTGTGTCACAGATTATCAAGACGTGTAATAAGGTTTCACCCAAGGAGCCTCTGTACTGCATTTGCCAGCAAGCCTCATGGTCCTCCCATTTGGCGAGGGGATCATGAGGACTCAGAGATGCTTCAATAGGTAGAGTTACCTAGAAAAAAAAAATACTATCATGATGACGCATGAAAATAAAGTATCATGGACTAAGAAATCATTTTCCGCTCTCCTAAAATATACACATGTGTAAGATTTAAGCATTCTGGAGATTAGATGTGAAGTTCATGGGAACAAAATTTTGTTAATCTCAATTCTGAACATTCACAGGCGCATTTTGATGGATTCCTTATCAAATTTAACAAAAGAAACGATAGCCAAAGGTGAAGCCCTGGGTGCAAGGAAGTTATTTCTCCATTACAGTGTCTCAGAATTTTTGCCAACATTTTACATAAATCAATTGCACTCATTTCGTCAACATTTTTACAGAATATTCTCTATGATTTTAGATTGTTCTAAAACAAAAAAAATAAAAACAGAACAGAAATCATCCGTTGGTTTCTTCAATGAAAATAAAAATTAGCAGCACACCCACGCATCAATTGGTGATGGAAGTTATTGCAGAAATATTTACTGAATAGTTATCTTGTTTGTAAAAAAATGGAATTAATGAAAATAAATTGGGAGAGGGAGAGGCACTGGCTGATAAGGAAAGGAGCAAACAAAAATTTGTGTATTCACTTGATACCTACTGAAACTAATACAGGTAATGACCTTCCAACAACTACGTAAGGTGATGAGATGGCTCATTTGGCGAGGGATGGAATCTCAGTTTCTGTTAGAAAAAAGCTGCAGTTTAGAAGTTCTGGAAATCTTTTAAAGAGTAAAATACATATTTCTTTGAGAGAAAATTTTTAATTTCATCCTGCAATTTTTCCTCTTGAATATAATTGTCTAAAAGTACACCTCATGACACCTTTGTCCCAAAAGAAAGAATATTGTCTAACATCTAATATACTAACAGGTTGAATTTAAAGTAAAGGATAGCACAAAAATAATTAACTGAAAACAATGTGGCTCCAAATTGTGAAGAGCAGTAGATATTAGGGAGGAGAAAAATTTACCTGTTGCTGATCTCTGAACTTCCAACGTAAATACTCTGCTCTTTTGATGATCTGTCCTTTGCCATCATTGTACATGAGAACTCCAAACTGCTCTTTGATGAGCTTCTCAACCTCGACTTGGCCTCCAATGTTGTATGCATCAATGAGCTCACCGCCATTTTTATAGTTGGCGAGTCGATACAGTAGACAATCATCTTCGTTCGATGCTTGTGAAATGACACGGTCCAAGATCGAGCCAGTTTGAACGGAAGAGCGTGCGCCTCCGCACAGAATCCCACCCATCACCAGTGCCTCGTTTCATTGGATTTGTGGAGATGGACACAATCTTCACACAGATTAGGCATCGTTTAGATATTTTTCACTGAAACGAAGATACAAAATTTAAGACATTAGATTTTAAAATTAAATGAGAAATTATTGAAAGAAAATGAATCTCCTTCTAAATGTTGCAGTTAAAGAACAATGATAGCAAGATATTTTTAATGATGGTTCAAAACCGAGATTTTAAAACGTACCTTGAAATTGAAACCACCTTGAGAGTTGCTTAAAGGCGTTTAAACCCCTGTACTTTAGGCGATTTCAAGAAGTCTCAGGTCAAAGAAAAATCAAAGGGCGTCTCAAAATTTCTGTTTGATTATTGGAAAGTAAAATCTATCTGTGTTCATTGGGGTGTTAAGTTTTAACCTGAGAAAGCAGCCACTATTAGGGAAATTTTATGCGTTAGTGTGTAAGCTTCGCTTTTGTTTCTTGGTATTTAAATATCAGGCATCAATCCAATGAATTTGATAGCATTTTTTCATATCCTCCTGATTGCTTTATGATTTTGACCTATTGTCTCAGTCAGTATAGATTATTAGTGACCCTAATTGATAACATCAGTAATATTTCCTACAGTAAGAATTATTTTGCATGGGCAATGCTTTAAACTTTCAAATAAAGTACGACAGATTACTAGAAATTCGAAGTTTTAATCTTTAGAAAAAATTTGAGAAGAAAAATGTAAAAAATTTTATCAGATGTGATGAGAGATTCGTCTTAACTTTAGGAATACTATTTCTTTAAGTAGGTCAAGTTCAAATAAAATGTTTATTGGCCGCTTCACAAAACTAGATATGGGCAAAATAAAACTTCATTTTATTGAAGGGTAGCGAAGACATTAAAACCATTCATAAAATTGAGAGAGAGTTACCTAATCAAGCTCTTTTTTGAAAAATCTTTATGGGTTCTTACAGTTACTTACCTGCAGTCATAATTGCAGTATTTCTTACAGTGGCCCAAAAATCAATCACGATGCATGATACCTACTATTTTCTAGTCATGGAAGTCTCCATTAAACATGTTGTAAATTCATCTGGCTAACTGACTAATTTGTTGGAATTTAATGAGAGATAATGTACTGCCATACACACAAGTTCCAACTACCAAAAGGTAAACAAATAACTTAACTGTCACATCAACAAAATCACTTAACTGGAAGTATGAGCCAACTAATAGTTGAAGACAAAAGAAACGCTCATGTTCTGATTTCAGAGCTTAAAATTTGAAGGAAATACGTGACAGGCAGGAAAAATTGTCGAATTGAATCTTTAAAAAAAGAGTAACTTCAATTTAACTGCTGATGAAAATGCGGGAGATACAAATAGCATTGCAGATAAACAAAGGCTGAGTAATGAAAATAGCAGACCCTTTGCAAAGCTAGAGGCATGTACAAAAAACTCAACAAGTTAGTGCAAAAGTAAATAAAGGTAAAATTAGGAACATGGAGAGTCAATTATATGAGGAGTCATGAAACAAAGACACTTAAGCCAAAATAGCAACAATGCGTGAGTATGGATTGTGCCTTGAGAGGACATTAGAGAGAGAGAGAGGTTCAGGTGGAGACATTGGTACCAGTTACTGGCTTGGGAGGAATCAATAAATAGTTTCCTGCAATCTCCTTCTCCAGTCAGACATGAGTTGTTAATTATATTAAAGTATCTAATCCTCACATGTTTAGAGCTTGTTGTGTTTATTAATGCTTTTGCGCCTGCCTTTGGTGAGGAGGGTAAAATTAAATTCCCCTTCTCTTGAGTGCTTTTTAATGATTAAGATTTTTCGTTATGTAAGTCGGATTGCATTGAAAATTTTCGTCTTCGAAATGAAAGAGGTGAACAGAAAATAACAAGTTCTTACAAATTTTCAACATTTCTGTAACTAAATACCTAGTGATATGCCAGCTAATTAGAGAGTGTTTGAAAGTTTTTTTACAGCGAGTGAAACATTTTTTCTTCCTTTTATTAAAAATATTTATGTTTAAGAAGCAAAAAGAGAAGAGGAAGAAAGCTGCTCATTTTTGGAAAAAAATTAATACCTCTTTGCATATAGCACAGGGAGAACCCTGCGAACAAAAGAGGCCTTGCTAGCTCTCTGTACATTTTGACAAAACTTTAAGCAATCATTATAAAGTTTATCATTAAGTCAGAGCCAATAAATTAGGTGATTTGGTTGGGTAGAAGGCGAGATATTTGATACTGAACAAGCGCATTACTTCCTCATCGCATGCTAATGCGCAGCAGAAGAATTTCGCGTTTAACCTCCCAGTTTTTTTTACAATCTCATCCGCTTTAGTGCATGCTTGGAAACTGATCTGCTCGTACCAAACACTGCGACTTTTCCCTCCGCTTGCCCGATCTGTTGAATCTGTTCCAACATCTCAATGCCATTTCAGATTTTACCAGCGCGGTAAACTTGTCTGCTTCCTTATCTTGAGATAAAATGCGATGTAGCGCATACCTAATCCTCCTCTGCCCTGCCATCTTTTCTCCACACTCCCTTCTTAAAGTGGATCTTCAGCTTTTGCAAATTGTACGCTGAGTACGGTCGATATATTCCGTTTTATCAACTGTCGGTGAATTACTTTGGGATAATCGGAATTCCAGTTTGTGAATGGATCATTAAAGAATGTTCGTGCTGAATATCATCTTCCAAAGTCCTAAAGAGAGTGCTGTTTCCAATTAATCATCGATATCGATAGATTGAAATCCGCTGTAAAATGGAAACAGTACTTTTGACTTTATTTTAAGATTTTGGGGGATGATTTTCAGCATGAACATTCATTAATGAATAATTTACAGATTGAAATTTTGATTTTTCCAACATAACCCACTTACTGCTTATAATTTGAAATATCGATCATACCCAAAACGCATTGTGCAAAATCTGAAGATCCACAGTAATATGTGTTAAGTTGCAAATATCTCGGCTTATAATGAAGCAAATCATCTGTTTTTTGGCTTTGGGCCGATGATCATTTTTATACCATCTTAAAGTCGAATCCAAATGTACGGAGAGCCTATAAGCTCCCACTTGTGTGGCGGGTTCTTTTGTTTTGGATAATGGGATTGCACGTACAAGAGGTGGGTGCATTTCACAGGATGGCTCACTTTTCTTCATTTCTCCATACTTTTCTGAGTGTTACACATACTTATGTGCATTCATTCAGAGCAGCTACTTTTATTAAAATTATCTTGTGAGAGAGTAAATAAGATCATTAAAACTTGAATAATTAGACAAATGGAATGAACACTTCAAAATTACATAAAATTTCCCTTGGACTCTTAGCTAGCATTTGGAAAAATGGAGAAGGTAAAGATATCCGCACTTCAAAAAACATAGATTTTTAATGATAAACAGTTCAACAAAATATTGAAATACATGTAAGGTATGAAGATTTGTGTATTCATAAGAAAACAGGCGAGCAAAGCAAATTACGTCAAATTGAGAAAAAGTTGAATCAACCCTTAAACTTTAAAAAACCTGTCCAGAGGCATTAAAAAAGAATTGTTACGGCTTAAAACTTAACAATTTAAAAAAAAAAGTGCTTCTTTCATGTAAATGTATGGCTCCTTTGCTGTGCATAAGAATGGACAAAAAAGTGGAAAAAAAGCAAGCCTCCATTTCATTAAGAAAGACTCCCTAAAATTAAGAAAGGCTGCTAGTTTGACATAGAAGAAATAAAATCCATTTGACTACAAATTAATTTACTTAACAAAACAGACCAGGTACATTGCAGAACTACCGAATTGTATGGAGAAGTACAGTAATACCTCAATCATCTGCTTGTCACTTATCCCACAGAACAATGAGGTTTTCTTATTTTTTCTTCATTTTTTTCTTATTTCTTTGTCTATTGCACACATACTTTATGTGGTGAATGTGTTTCATGCAATTTTGATTATATAGCGTTTTTGGGATCCGGTACAGACTTGCACCACAATTCATTGGATAATCGAGGTACTACAGTGCCAACTACCAACAGTGCAACTATGAGATTCTACAAAACTCACAGACCTCTTCAATGATTCAGGAAGTTATGTAAAGTTTTTTGCTGAAATTTAATGGATAATAGCGTTGAAACTTTGATGAATTAGATGGACTATAAGGTAAAAAACTGAAAGAGAGAAATAGAAAGTATATCCTTTTAACTTTAGAGGGAGAATAACCCCTCTGTATTTTATAGATAAACACAAATAATGCACTTGAATCACAAATAACAACCACAAGAAATTCTTAAGATTAACACAATTGAGAGGATAAAAAATAAAAAAGTAATTTTGAAATTAGAGACGAGGTTACACAACCATTTGAGATGATAACAACATATTGTCCTTACTTAGGATAAAAAAAATAACGCTCCATTAGAAGAAAAATGCAGACTATATGTAAGGCAAAAGAAGGCATCTGAGAATGATTATAGGGATCTCCGAATTCCAATATTATGGATGAGAATAATTGTACTATAGGATATTAGGTTAATCTCATTTAAGAGAAGTCATAGGAGCTGGCATGTTGAAACAAATTTTTGTCAGTGGCTGTTGGTGTGGTCTTGGAAACAACAATTAACTCCAAAAAGCTGCTCTTGTCTGAGCTTTATTACAACTGCTTGAGCTCTGAGTCAATATAATGTTGCTCCATTTGTCCAAACATAGAGTTGCTTGACTTGCAAAACTGATATGTATAACAACAGCTCATTTTAACTAACTTTGAAAACTCCTACAGCTGTCAATATGGGCCTTTTACATAGAGTACATAGAGTCGTAATGTAAGTGGGAGAGCTGGTGCCATGTTCTCCTTGAAGAGTTCCGAGCCCGGTGTGCGCCGAGCTTCGATCACTTTTTCCATACATGTTCCATCCAAAATTGCAGTGTGGAGTACATGATAATTCCTATCTTCTGAGTTTACATCGAATGGCCGGGTACCTGTGTATCGAAAACAATCGATTATGTATCGAAAAAGTGACACGGCGTCACACGGGAGTCGCGAAATTTGGGACCTGGAAAATGCTTAAAAGTGGCGCCAGCTCTCCCACTTACATTACGACTCTATGTACTCTATGGTCTTTGAAACTTTTAAATGGTACCATTTTAAAAGCGAAAACTGACTAAAAGTCTGACTGTTTGGGTATATTGGCAAGACTTTTTATCTAAAGATTAGTTTGTAGTGAATTTGAATTTTTAGGGATCGAAACATTGAAATTCATTTCTTATGAGAAAAAAAACCTTAAAGTAATAAAAATTAATGATAAAATGTTTGTAATGAGCTGTGAAGCTTAACTGATAAGATAAGAGATGTGCTTCTAAAGAAAATAGATTAGACAGTATGTACAGAGACAAGTTGGCCATTACATCTGTATAAGATCTGCTTAAGAGTACATGTTCAAAGCCTGGGTCTAGGTTTCCTTGGTACATATGGACGTATTTCTGTCAAACGGAACTATGTGCATTCAGACATGAGTCCTGAGACCCATAAGGATACAAGCATAACAGGGCTCACATCATAATGCACATAGTTCCGTTTGATAGAAATACGTCCATATGATTTGTTGATATTCAAAGGTCTAAAACCTATCGACTGTTTAGCAGGAACAGAATTTGCTCATACTGTGTATAATATAGAAGTAATGGTTAACTCTCAGGTTTTTGATGCTCAAGCAATTTTGGAGAGATTAACCATTATAATTACGTCACTCATACATAACTAACTTAACAAGCCAAAGAGTAAATAACTAGAGGAGAAAATTTGAAAAGGGGACAATGAGGGGAAATTCAACACACACTCTTAATTTTCTAACCAACAATAGACTATAGAAAATAAAAACAGTTGATAAACATTTAAATTCAAATTAATTCTAATGTACTACAAACTAAAAAGTTTTGAACTGAAATCTGATTTTCTCTCAACTTCTGACCTCAGTGCTTCGTACTGCAAAGATGGAACCCACAGTGGTGGTGAATGTGCACCTAACGGAGGTATGATCTATTCAAATACAGATTATTAAACGGGAGGAATAAATGCCTACTAAGAAACTTTTGAAACAACCCTTACGTAAGGAAAAAAATCTTGGTGTCTAAGTTACAGTTGAACTACATTTTGAAATTAAGAACTAAAAATCCTGGCTCATTTTAGAAACAACGTGTGCACCATTAGTTTCCCTGTGCAAAGAAGTGTTTGTACGGATGAGCCTGAATTTGTAATTTTTAATTGCAAAAATTAGTCCGGTTATCACTTATTTGATTTGAATGCCTGTTTACCAAACACCAGGAAGTGTATTGAAACAGCATGTCTATCGCTAGAATACACAAGTATTGAGGGAGACTTGAAACTGAGGAATCTTTACGGACCATTGAGGAAAAACAGCATTTGACTATTAACACGAGATTATAGACTTTGAAAATGTAAATTAACAAAAAGTGAGTTGTATCATAAACTCTAACTTTCGAATTACCTGATTTTAACAAAATAAAAAGGACATATTTGTTTCGGAAGCCTAACTGCTCCCATCTTCAGCAGGTGACAACTGAGGCGTTTGCAGCACACTTTCGGTCAGATTCAGGAACTAGGACAGAGACGCTGAGACGCAGAGCCCCTCAGTTGTCACCCGCTGAAGATGGGAGCAGTTACGCTCTTGAAAAAAATTTGTCCTTTTTGTTAAAATCAGGTAATTTGAAAATTAGAGTTTTTGATACGACTAATTTTTTGTTAAAAACAGCATTATTGAGGTACGCCCTTACGTTAGAGGAGCAACTTTATGCATAGGATTACATACCACACACATGCACTAAATTTTCAAAATTTTCACTGGAATATTGATGAAGAAATATAATTGCTGGCTTTTTTATAATTAATTTGATTCCACCTCTTTTGAAAACTTAACTTAAGAGATCCAAAATTCCGAACTTCTAAGCATCAGTGCTGATTTCATGGAACTAAGGTCGAAAGGTCAAAAATGCTTTCAGTGACAGGGGTAACTTTCAGGGTAATGCTGATCATGACTACTTTATGAGATCACAGACAGCAAGATATGCTGGTCTCATGAGAAATATGACAAGAAATTAATATCCAAATATGGCCCAGCGTAGCTTACAAAAAAGACCAGAATGGTAGTCATAGCGTTAAAAAGTTCAACCAAGATCTAATTTTATAAATGTTTAAGGGTTGGCACTGCCTCTGTAATATCAAGGCTGTCGAGTCAGAACTACACAAAAGTAGAAATAATAATTAACATTAATTTTTCAGAAAGAGTGGCGAAACAAAAAGTGCTTCATATTGAAAAATGTAAATTTCATAAATGCTCACCTTCTCAGACATTGATAAATGCGATATTAAAGCTCAATACATTGAGAGAAAAGTGCAATGTACTAGTAGAATGTACAAGTGAGATGCATCTCCCATAATGATATACTTTTCTATTCTGAGAAAAAATTGTGAAAATGGATTCAGTTAGTTTTGTCTAGTTTCTTAACTTTCTGTAAGTCATTAATAACATAAAAATTTCAATTAAAAGCAGTCACCTTGTTTTTTCCATAATTCTACTGATTGAGAGGATATGTGTCCAGAAGGACACATTATCCTCAATTGTTCCTAACAACAAATTATTATAATCAATTATTATTTGTTTCCTTTACTTAGGAAACATATCAAATACACGTGGCCATACACATTTGACTACGTTTGAACAATATCTGTGAAGAGGTATTATGATGTTTTTCTTCTTGCTAAATTAGTGAAATTGATCCAGAATGAAATTATAATTTATGAATAAAATTCATGGTACTCAAATCAGTTGAAATTGACTGAAAAATATGATTCAATAAATTTAAATTGTCACCAAAAGTTTCAACACATTTCTAGAAATTTGCACAACTTTGGTATGAAAAATAGAACGTGAATTAGTGATTACTATCACTGAATTCAACCATGATTAGATTACAAGTTACATCAGTCTCACAGAATATGAGATAAAACAATGACTGGACAAATTGTTGAAAGAAAGAAAGAAAGGAGGAAAAAAAAGATGAAAGAAAAAACTAACAAACAAACTAACGAAAGAATAAACAAACAAAAAAACTTACAATTAATCAATTTATGAGATAGAAACGCCCGACAAAAATACTCAAAAGCATTACATATAGAACTAACACAATTTTTGGACTAAAAAAAAAATAGTTTTTTTTTAATGATGGTTCAAAAAGTACTATGTAATTCCAGTTCAAATTAAAAATGTTTAGCACTATCAGTTCATTTTCATGATGACAACGTACATTTTTTTGAAGGGCGAGTCAACTTCAAAAGTTTAATCTGGAACAAAGATAATCCATAAAATAAATTATTCCACTGATACAGGTATGCTAAAATAGAAATTGAGAATACACAAGAAAATCAATATTTAACAAGCATTCAAACTTTCCCACCACTTTTGATTTGGCATTTGAGTCCAAAAAGAATGAACTTCGAAGGAGTTCCATCATAGCTCAAATTTCCATCTTCTTGAATTTTCGGCAGCAGCATATGTGGAAAAGCACATGAAAACCAAATCTCATGAAAGTAGACTGTCTAGGGCTTAAGACAATCTCAAGACTATGCCAGGGAAACAATTTGGACGGAAGTTGAAAATTTTCAAAGTTGAAGCGGTGTGTAGGAATCTGCAATGTTTTGAGTCTATAATACTAGCGATAATTATTGATGGATGAAAAGCTTACCATTGGAGTCATCATCGTCATCATCATCATCACTGATGTACTTTTTACTGGTGCGTTTCCGGCGAGACGATTTGGATTCACTACTCCTCGCTGACGATCTTGACGGAGTCTTTAATTTTAATTTTACCCTCACTGTTGTTGAATCTGCATCTGACACGGAGCCTTCATCGTCTTCTGAATAGAAAAAATTCACACAGATAAAGTTTTCGTAAAATACGGATAGCTCCTCCAAGAAAACACCATCAAAAATATCTATGGCTATAGTTCGAAACCATGTATCTTCATTGCGGTGTTTCAAAATGACCGCTCCTATTGTGTTTTTTCAAAGAGAAAAAAGCCAACTTTAAAGCTTGAAATTTTAATAGAATATTCTGCTAATGGAGAAGAAAGGTCAAGAAAGTTTCGAAGAAATTACCATAACTAATTTTCCAAAGAAACGATAAAGAACGAAAGGAAGTCTGAAACATTGAGAACAGAGATATGTCATGTCGCACTTTGGCCTTCAATATATAACTTCGAAACACTGCTTGAAGCTAGTAATTTGCTATCCTTGCTTTTGAAGGGTAAGAAGAGATAATGAGTGATGATAAAGACCACTTAAACTCTTAGTGAGAATAAACCTGAGGGCCGAAAAACTCAGATTTGACCACTGGTTGACCCACTTGTGCACTAGCATTTTTTTACTCAATGCGCCTTGCAGTACAAGAAACTAGGAGGGAAACAGAATACTCTTGCATGATATTTAGAAAAATATCCAGGGCACTATTTTTTGGGCAATCGGACAAGCACAAGAAAAACAATCGCTTAGCAGCTGCTTGAGTTAACTTGTCTATACATAACCGTCCTGGGACATCGCTGACACGTATACTTGTATGCGAAAGGCAAAGACATTGAATCACGTAGACCGTGCGTTCGGGTCGGTTTAGTACTGGCGGAGCGAGGCACGTCTCTCGGAGCCCCATGATGGGCGGGCGAGGAAGGGGAGAGAGCGTGTGTCCCAAGCACTCGAAGAGACTGCAGAGAGGCAATGGAGAATTCATGCCCGCGCTCGGTTTTTCACGAATATCTCGTTTAGAGTCCATTTTCAGACAAAATTCCTAAGAAGAAAAGTTGTAGAACACATAATTTTACACCCGATTAGCACTGTTTCATTTTTCCGAACTAATTATGAACCGAGGAAAAAAGCCTCACAATCAGACAAAAATTCACTGGAGCCGCCAGGAGCCGCTACTGCGCATGCACAGATGTGCGCGACTGGGACACACGAACTCATCGATGCGGGTCGGTGCCGTCACTCATCACATGCGAATTTTTAAAAGTTGCTTCGCCTTCTGTAACACAGGATGCACGGTCTACGTGATTCAATGTCTTTGGCGAAAGGGTTAAATTAGTGACTGACTAACACATTTATGGGCCTAGAAATTCATTAAATCCAAGTTCTACAATATTATTTTTACCATTATTGTCCCTGCTCTCTTCTTCCATACGAATACGAGCGTTGCAAAAAACAGACTGGAGAACAATTGAATCTTCATAAATTAGAGACCCTTCTTCGTTGTACATTTGAGCATTCTTACAGGATTGCATGAAGTCCCGCTCGAGATCATCTAAACCACCATACTGAAAAAGAATCATCCATAAATTCAATGAAATAATTGACAAATTCAACTGAATTCTATGTCAAGGAGGAAGTCACATGGAGAGAATCAAACAATTTGAAGGACATACTAGAAATTCAAATTGAGTGATTGATTTCTTTCGATTCATTCTTTGAGATTTTAAATCCTACCAATTGACCAGTTAGTCTCGACCATGCTGACTACGGTATTTTGACGCATAGCGCTGTTATGGTATAATCTACAGAATCTCTGTTGCTTTCGTACATACAAGTTGTTGCAAATGGAAACATGGGAAGTTGTTGATAGGACGTATCTGATTATTTTTAGCTAATCTGCAAGAGTCAAGCATCAAAACACAATTCAATGACCAGCGCAACTGACCTATTGTAACCAGAATGGAACTACTTATTTTTAAAAGGTCCCAAGTGACAAAAACTTTTCAGTCTCTTTTTGTCTACAACTTCCGGAGGTTATAAAAGAAAATCAAATAATCTATAGTTGAAATATTAGTCCAATACCTTATATTTAGCTTACATATCTTGGAAATAATATTATAGTGCATAGTTTATTGTATATCATGGTAATCCTTTTATTAGGCATTGTAAAAATTTAGTGAGACGTATAATAAAATAACATTTATTCATCTCATTATTCAACATCAACGGAGGAAACTGATGGTATACTTTTTAAGAAATACATAGAACTTACTTTCCCCTCTTCGATCCTGGACATAATTTTCTTAATGTCAATGGGTTTTTTTATGACCTCATAATAATCTGGTAACTCTTTGCGTGAGGGCAGTTTCATAAAAGGCTCACTCAACGTTCGCTGGTCTCTGGAAACAAAGAAAAAGACAAGTTAAACAAATTTCCGACTGCTAATGAAAACTCGAAATTAATAAAGAGAGATTTATGATTTTGAAAAGGATTGACTTGAGTTACATAGTGGGGTCCACCAAACTAGTGACTGCTAATATATACTGTGAAAAAGCAGCAGAGGGAATGCACGCGTCAAGGCAAAAAATTTGGTACTATCCTGCTCACTTAGACCAGCATCGATCGGGAGATTTAGCTGAGCTGAGTAACCCATAAAAAACCAATTATGCTGGGTAAGCACTGCATGTTTCTTATACATTTTATGGCCTGCGAGAAAATGAATTGAAAAACAAAACGGCAGGCAGTCACTTAAAAAAGTAAAGTAAAAAATGATCCACTTTATTCAGGTTGGCAAAATCTGCCAGTCTTAACTCGTCCTAAGCCAATATGTTTTCACACATGTTTTCCCATGACACCAATAAAACGCTCATAAAAAAGGTAAACTTCTAAGAGCCCTTCCATAGAACTCTAAAGTCAGAGTTAATAATATTTTTAGGCAAAATTTTGTAGTCAAACACCGTTAGTTTGCCTTGTGAGTTCGAGGTGGCCAGACCGCAACACTTCCGGGTCGAACCCATGAGATGGACATGGAATGGATGCTAGTTTATCAAGATATTTCTGTACTTGATAAGTGTGATGCTTTGCAGTTCTTAAAAAGAATAAAAGATTTGAGAAAAAACAATTCATAGGTACCAACCTGTCTGTATACTTGATGACGGTATTCATTAACTTCCGACATTGTTTCTTAAGACGAGAACTGTCTTTGCCAGATGTGCTAGGTCCACCACCATAAGAGCTTTTCTTTTTCTTGGAGGAAGTTTCTTCTTCATCCTCTTCCTCTCGTTTCCGCCTTCGGCGTGATTTCTTCGATGACCTACTTCCTTCTTCCTCTTCGTCTTCATCATAATCCTCAATGCCTTCATCGATAGCCTGTCAAAGAGTAAATAAAACAGTTAGCAATCACATCTTTTCTTTGTGCTACCTTTTCTGAGGACTTTTGTGAAGAAGTAAAACAGTTAGCAATCACATCTTTTCTATGTGCTACCTTTTCTGAGGACTTTTGTGACACATAAAGTTATTGCATGTGCTAATGGGCCGTTAATTGTAGCAAAAATCATCAGAAAATCCAGCTGATGCAACAATTTAGACAGCCTTACTCTGCTGAACACTATTCAATTCATCTTACGAGAAATCACCTTACAATTTTGTTAAGCTATCTTTTAAAATTTGATAAAAAAAAATCGAGGGCTAGAGTGCGCAATCATGTATCTCCGTTTGCGACATTGCAGACTTCCTGTCGTATTTTATAGTTTCCTTGGAAAACAAGTCAACGTTATTGAAGCACTGGATGCGAAAAGGGCACTTCTCGGTTGCTGTGTTTCAGAGTCTCATCTAACATTTTATTCATTGTGAGGAAAGTGAATGCATCCATTTCACTAAAAATTTTACTGAATATTCCTTATAATTCCAAAATTTTCTATAGAAAGAATTCTGGAAAAATCACCCATTGCATTCTTCTCCAAGGGATTACTTCGCAACAGAGATTCTGAAACACTGTAATCAAGAAGTGCCCTTTACGTATCCAGTGCCTCAATTTCTTGAAAACTTCCTTGATTTTTCTTCTCAGTTGGCAAATTATTTTGAGAAAATTTCATGCTACAAAGATGGCTTGTTTCTCCTCGAGAAAATAAAACTAGCAAACATTTTGAAACACCGCAATGAAAATACGTGGTTTTGCCCTTTAGCAATCAATAGATAGTTTTTAAAAATTTTGAATAGAATAGAGTTGGACGTTACCAGGCCGAAATAATCTTACCACCCAGGCACTTTTAACAAAATCCATCTGCTCTAAGAGAATATTGAAACATTGTTTCTTAAAATTCCTTTCAAGGGTTGTTTACTTATGTTAATGTCTTATTTCTGATATTGTTCAGTTGTTTACTGAGTATTTTTCAAGCATTCATACCTTCAGCCATTCTTTCTCAGTCAAGCTGTCCGAGTAGTCAACTTCTTTCCGTTGTCTTGAGCCTCGACCCATAATCTGCGTTTCTCCCAGATCGTACGACGTCCATGCTTCAACTTCATCATCATCCTTAACTAGCCACTCGGGTAATTCTGATTCGTCGACTAGTCGAGATTTGCCTTGCCTGGCTTCCTCACGCCGACGTTCCTTGTCCATTTGCTGGAAAATCTCAAACTCTGCTTCGCTCCGTGCGATCATTTGGTTCACTACTTCATCATCAGGAACTTCATTTTCCTCCTGAAAAAGAGTAGTTAAAAGCATGAAATAAACATTACACCGAATAAAAAGACCGATCCAAAAAAAAGAGAGAGATCAATTTGGCAAGGGAATTAGCTAAAAAGGAAAAAATGTAGAAAAATATTTGGAAATAATTAACATTGCCGATTAGATGTTTGTGGCTTTTTCTAGGTGGAGATGTTATAATTCTGAAGATGCAGACTTACCTCATCTTCAGCATCATCTTGGTGCAAAATACTTTGCAGAAACTGTTGACGCTCGGAGCCGGTAGATTTTTGGTCAAACATTCCTGCTTGAATAACCTTCTCATCCATGTTCAATTTATAACGAGCAGCTGCCAGTATTCGTTCCTCCACTGAGTTGACTGTCATCAAACGCAATACTCGTACTTCATTTTTTTGTCCGATTCGATGTGCTCGGTCTTGAGCTTGCAAGTCCTGGATACAGTGGTACATATTAATTAACACGATAAAAGTTAAAAATGCAAGGAAACCACTCCTGCAGGACCACAGAATAAGCATGCCAAGGTTCCACAGTTGCTCTAGAGCATCTCTATCCCCATTAGGTTTTTAGTAATGAAGCGACTTTTGAAATGCATTCGTCAAATGAATTGGTCCACTTGGCTGTTTGACAGCACTGAAGAAAAATGAATACATTTTTATAGGATAGTAAAAGGTAAATCCAGAGACACAGAGACAGAGGAGACATTAATCAAATAAATTTTAGAGAATACCCGAATGCTGAATCTATAAATAAATCATTATTATTGCTCAGAGATGCTTAGAGATCCGTTCACCTTTAAATTTCTGAAAAACTTGGTAAAATAAGGAAATCTGATCCCCACTGAGTTACTCCCAATAACAAGAAATGAGATACAACAATCTAATCCTAAAAATCAGCCATATTGATGGCTAAAGTGCAAAACCATCTCCATTTGCGACGTTGTGAGCTTCCTGTCAGATTTCGATTTTTCTTCAAAACACTCATCAACGTAATTTCTTGAAAACTTCCTTGATTTTGCTTCTCTGGTTGCATACTATTCTGTATACATTTCAAGCTATAAAGTTGGCTTGTTTGTCTGCAAAAAAATAAAATAGGAGCGGAAATTCTGAAACATTCCAATGGAGAGTCATGGTTTTGCGCGTTGGCTATCAAAATTCATTCTACGCATGAAAAAAGATAAAGATACTGTGCTATATATGAATAATACAAGTAAAAAAATGAAAAAAACTGAGATCGATTTGATGAAACAAACCTGATGGGGATTCCAGTCTGAATCAAAAATGATGACCGTGTCTGCGGATTGGAGATTCAATCCCAAACCTCCAGCTCGAGTACTGAGAAGGAAAAGAAAGTAATCACTGTCTGGGCTGTTGAATTTTTTCAGCAAGTCTCCTCGATCCTCAGCTTTGGTTGTTCCATCTAAACGAAGGTACGAAAAGCCTTGGAGATTGAAATAATCCTCCATGATGGTCATCAATTGAGTCATCTGACAGAAGAGGAGCACGCGATGATTCGTTGCTTTCAGTTTAGGGAGAATTCTATCCAGCAGTTCAAACTTTCCGGAAACTCGCCAGAGATCAGGCCTGGAATAGTTCCAAGTGTTTTATTATAATGGGTTTCGTAGTGCGATAGCTTTACATTGTAAATCTGAGGACGGTTGAGTTCAAAATGTACTATTTCAGGTAAATAAAACTTAAGGGAAACCACAGTAGTGTTTACTGAAGCACGACTGAATGGGCCTGTTGCATGCAAGAGATACAGCCGCGCGAATAGACTTTTTAAAGGTTAAATGACACGAAAATTACGATGGTCACATTAAAAAAGTCTGAAATACACTCCTTACTGCGCAATTTGCGTTGTCAGGAACGCGCTTTTTCAAATTTCCCGCGTCTGGGGGCAGTTTTCTAATCACCGGAAACGAGCAAACGGCGGGCTCGGTGATTTCCGGAAGATGCCGAGTCATTGTTGTTGTTGTTATTTTTTCCTTCAGTTTGTTTACAAACCCAACGTGATCTCTTATAATAGTCCCTATACGCTTTATGCGGTAACCAAATCGATCAACTTTTAAATATCCAACGCAAATCCTTCTACATTTCATTTCACGATATCACGAGCTCCGATTTTTAGGTTATGTTGTCAGTTTTAGTTGACCGGAAATAGCCGGGAGTTGCCGTTAATTGTTTCCGTTAGAAAACTGCCCCCAGACGCGGGAAATTTGAAAAAGCACGTTCCTCACAACGCAAAATGCGCAGTAAGGAGTGTATTTCAGACTTCTTTAATGTGACCATCGTAATTTTCGTGTCATTTAACCTCTGAAAAGTCTATTCGCACGGCTGTATCTCTTGCATGCAACAGGCCCATTATGAATCTTTCCTTTGATTGAGAAATTTAGACAGGGTTGTCACATAATTTAGGGAATGAAATTCCCTGACATTCCAATGACTTCCCTGACACATTTTAGTGAAATTTCCTGACAATTAAAGATATACCAGATGTTAAAAAGACATAATTTGAAAAAGTTTTCAAGCAAAATTGCTAAGCAAAACGTTAAACCCACTCTAGAAAGCAAATAAAGGTGACTTAACGATTTTTCTCTGACACTTTCATCATTTTCCCCCACTGTTGCAACCCTGTTTAGAGGAGGACAGAGAGTACTTCAATCTTGCAGATTTTTTCCTTGCATCAAAATGATCATCAAAACATTTGATTCTTGAGCAAAGATGGAAACTTTAGTAAAAACGATACAAGTAACATCATTTCCCTACCAAGTTTTCTTTTTTAAGACTGTTTTTGCGCAGTTGAGTAATTTAATACTGCTTCAGGCTGTACACAAAGGTGTCATTTTTTACATTTTCTTTCTTCACTCCTCGGCTTTGACCAAAACAGGTTCAATTTTGTTGTACAAAAAGAGGAGTAGTCAAGATGAAAGCAAAAAGAAAGACCTCAAAAAAACGAATTATGAAAAAAGAAGGAGTGACACTCACTTAACGATTGTAATATTCATTGCAGTATTTATATTCATAAATTTTTGGATAAAAGGAATTGTACGGGGAAAAACAACAAAAAATCTCCTTACGTGGTAACAACATTGCCGGTTCCACCGATATGCTCACAGTATTTTTCCTCAATGTTTTGAAACATGAATGGATGATTACACAGTTTACGCAATTGAACGATTGTGTTCATGAGTGCTTTGGCACCACCTTTTCCTTGTTTACCTTTCTCTGAACCATCAGTTAGAAGAACTCCTTTGCTCTGCATATGTCTGTGAAGAGAATTGAAAGAAGAAAAAAATCAGAATCAAGCAAATTACCCTGGAAAATGACAAGAGACGAAAAAAACTTGGAGACTGTTCAGCAACTTTGTAAGAAGTTGCAAGGTTTTTTTTTTCGTGAACAAACCACTGCAGTGATGACACCCCCCCCCCTCCAAATTTCTGCAAGATAAAGCAAGCAGAGATAAATCATGGTACCTTACAAGCTTCTGTTCAAAAAATTTGATGAGGGCATAGTTGGACTCCATTTTGCAATTACGAACTACTATTTCTGGCTCAGTTTGGAAACATCGTATGTACCATTAGTTTCCCTATGCACATGAGTGTTTTTACAAATGACCCAGAAGTTTTAGCTCAAAATTGCAAAATGAAGTCCAATTTTAATACATTTATTCATTTACATTTACTCACCTACGCACTATCTTCAGTGTTACCAAAAAATTTTCCACTTACTCACTACCCCATAATCTCATTTAAACACCCATTTACTCTTTCTAAAGGGACGCAACAAATGAAAGAATTCAAGTTAATTTTGTCAGAATTACAGTTTCAAAATTGATGAGGTGATCTGCAGTCAGCAAACATACCTGTACAAAACGCGCTGTAGACCAGACATATCGCACTTGACGATATATTCAACCTTATCTGGTAACTGTGATTCGACTTCCTTCTTCAGGCGTCTGAGAAGGAATGGTCGCAGAACTTTATGCAAACGCCGAATTATAAGAATCGTTTCTTCTTCATTCAGCTCAACCTGAAACAAGACCAGCTCATGAATATATACTGGTGACTTTTATGGAACATTAACAAGTACAACCTATTTACGTACTGGGATTTTTCAAGTCCTCTAGGATATAATTAAGTTGATTACAAACCCAAATGAATATCTCTAAAACTCATTAAAAGAGACAAACAATGTTTCTCGAGGGTTTTAAAAATATATATCATTTGAAACAGTTTTTTAATTCATAACCAACTTTTTGTTCAGTGTATAACAGGTCACTAAATCTTGTGGTTTTTATTTAACATTCTGACAGTACCAGGAGCGCAGATTACACGGTGATTTATTGCATATTTCTGAAGCCAAAATCCCGAACAAGCTCGCTTTTAAAAAATCCGAGGACTCAAAGGAATTTCAAACACGCCGGAATGGCAAAAAAATTATAGCAATGAAGTACTGCGGCAGTCATCCTTGCATCCTCTCATTATCCACTAATGTTCATTAAATTAAAACGTACTTCAATGTAGAATTGTTGCTCGTTTACTGCAGATAAAACGAATAGGATTCAATTTCTTGATTCTGAGGATGTAGTTTTGACTTTCCTGCAATTTTCACGTACAAGGAGTAGAAAGACACTTGATTCTGACTGATTCTGAATGGTGTTGGATGACATCATTCGATTCGGCAGACCCCAGAGCGTTTTGAATTTGCAGAAAAGTTGCGCTTTTTGAACTGTGTATTTCTCGGTTCCTGAGTCACGTTACCGCGTTTTTAATGTGCGTATGAAGTTCTATGCATCATTTACCAACAGAGAAATGTATTTGCATGCCAAAATTCGTTCATGGTTTAGTGACCCATTTGATCTGTAACTCGATCATTATAAAATCACAAGGGAAGATTTAAACAGAGGTTTCTGTGGTCCCCTTTACATCGTACTTCTAAAGTGTTGAGAGACACGCAAGGCAAAGAGAACATTAGAGTTGTAAAGTTAAAACGTAAAAACTCAAACCTTTTCTCCTGTGGTAGCAAAAGGAGCATTGAACCATTGCTCAAAGGTCGAAACCGATTTGAAGATTGATGGCAAGAGAAAATTTAGGAGCGCCCAGAGCTCTGGTAACTTATTTTGTAGGGGAGTTCCAGTCAGCAAAAGTCGATGAGGAACGTTATAGTGAGTGTTGAGAATCTGGGTGAGTTTGCAGTGGTGGTTTTTCATCCGATGACCTTCATCAATTATCATGTATTTCCAATGTATCTGTAAGACGATGGATATCAATAAGCTACATGGGGTAAAATAAGATTAATGTCCGTGAATTTATCTCAAAAATGAACTCAAATTCAAAAAAATTAAATAGAACATTACCAATGGCAGGAAAACAATAAAAATTGAAAGCTTTGTGTATGTTTCAAATTCCACATGAAAAGAATTAACCATCCAGCATTAAAATATTCTATTTTCATTAAGCTGCTCAATTCATAGTCATGAAGACGTCTGATTCACGAAGGAGAAAGAGAAATAAGAAAGTTACAAAAAAAGAAAAACAAAAAGAGAAATAAAATTATACTGGTTTAAACAGCCTTCACTTCAGATGATTAATCACAATGCTTCTATTCAATTGAAACATTTTGAAATGTGATACATAGGATTTGAAAATATTAAAAATGGACTTATTTCCTCCTAAATAAATTATTTTTTCGAAGAACTCACCTTGGCCAATATTGATTTATCCTTGATGACATACTCATAAGTTGTTAAAAGGACATTAAACTTGTTCGAGCGCATTTGGGCCTGAAGGGTACGACGAACTCCTGGAGAGCCTTTGTAAGCGATGACAAAAACCGATGGCGACCATTTTTCAAACTCCAAGACCCAATTAGAAAGAGTTGATAGAGGAACAATGATCAAATACGGTCCATTCAGCTTTTTCTTCTCCATCAAATACGTAATTAGAGCGATGGTCTGTATGGTTTTCCCAAGACCCATTTCATCCGCAAGAATACCGTTGAGGTTATTGTTGTAGAGAGAGACAAGCCACTCAAGACCTGCAAGAAAATACCCAAAAAATAAAAAGATCAGCTTACATCTTTTAATAATCAAAAAAAAGATGATGAGTTGTGTTTTTGAAAAAATACAGAGCAATACAGCCATGCGCTGTTGCAACGAAACCTTCATTTAAGGGAACATAATTTTATGAGATTCTAGGGGCAGATTTCTATGATAAATATACAATCTACCAATGTACGAATTAAGCCTCAGGGGCACCTGTAAAAATAAGGATTGGAAACGCAGAGAGGATGCCGTATCTAACCATGAGCCCGCATGTGCTTGCATGCCCTAAACCATTGATATCTCATGATGATAAAAACAGACTTAGAGCCATCCAAAAAGCGGGTACAGAAAAAAAACCTCCCTAAGAAATAGATGTAATTTATAAAAATAGAGGGAAATACCTTTTATTTGGTATTCTTTCAGCTGGCCATTGACCATAATTGATGCTTGTTCTGTGACGATCTCATGGATTGTGTGCGCAATGCTGTAGTACGTGTGCTCTTCAGCTGTGTTTTTATATTCGTCATCTTCTGCTTTAGCTTTTTTTATTACAGCCCCTGGATCTTCTTTCTTTTTAGCAATTTTCTCTTCTTCGTTTTCATTATCTTCTTCATCCAAGTCATCCTCATCTTCATCACTGGAATCTTCTTCCTCGTCTTCGGACTCTTTCAGCACTTCCCAGCCAGGGTGCGCCTCTAGCCAGCTGGATAACTGATTTGCAGAAGGAGCGTCTTCTCCTGAAAAAAATCAATGACAGACATTATTGAATGGTAAAACTTAATCATGCAATATTGACCTCTAAAAATTTTGATAAATTACCGACATTTTTCATTGGAACAAAAGTGCATTGCGAGTGCTTGAATTTAATAGGAAACTTGCAGAGAACTATGAAATAGGACAATTTGACCATGGAAGATAAATAACTCTTGAAATATTTAAGTAAAATCTACGTGACTGGAAATTTTATTGATAATCTACGTATTTTCTTCTTTTTTTTTTAATTTCTCTCTCATTTGTAAGTAAAACCATTATTTTTACACATGAAATAAATCACTTCTAATACTTTGAGAAAAATAATGATGAGAATAATTGAGGTGTCATAAAGTACTGAGATGATTTAAGTCTGTTCACGAGCCGATATCAGAGGGGTTATTTCAACACTTTTAACATTCCGATTGAACTTAACTGGACAAGATCCTATCTAAGCCATCTAAAATATCAAGCCTGCAGTGTTTAATCCAGTCAAAATGGCTTTATGGCATAAGCCTCCTGAAGGTACACAGGCACCAGAAAGACACTGATGTAGTTTCATTAAATGGGGATTTCGCAAATACAATTTTATGTTGGGAACATACCTCTGAGCATTCGTCCAGTTCCTGTTTCCACAACTTTTATACACATTTCTGACTGAGAGCCATCATCTCCGTCATCAGCCTTAGACTTTTTCTTTTTTTTCTTCTTTTTCTTTTTTTCTTCCTCTTGCTGTTTGCGTTTTTGTTCCGTCTTGTGCTGTTTCACCATTTCAGTCAAATTACAAATATATTCATCTGTCTGAGAGAGAAGAAAAGCCAACCTCTTATCCTTTTTCTGGTCAATAAGTTTCCGATATCCTTCCTCATCTTCAGCCATCAGCCGACGCATACGCTCTTTCTCAATCCTCTCTTGTTCTTTCTTCTGTTCTCTTTCAGCATTGGCATGATACGTCAAAATAGCTTTGTTTAGTCGCCCGATTCTTGCCTGATTGTTGCGGTGATATTCTTTGAAATCTTTGCAGTGCTGTAAGATGGTGTTCAGGTATTCTTGGTGCTTCTGTCGTCTTTTCCTTTCGGCTTCCATTTTCTGCTGTTTCTCAAGCTTTTCTGTTGCTCGAGCCTCTTTTAAACCTTGCCTTTTAGTACGTTTGTAAGCTTTCATACTTACGGCAGTTTCTAAAGTTGAGTCTTTACGAGTGCAGGCAATCACTTCGTTTCTCAGCTGCCTTTGAAAATTTAAAACTCTGAGTGCTCTCAGCTCTATTTCAGCCTTGAGCCGAAGGTCTTCAGACATGGTCGTGGGCAGGTTTTTCAGTTCATTCATGCGATGAGCCATTTTAGCAGCAATACGATTCTCTCGCTCCTGTAAAATGATCAGGGGATCAAGCCCTTGGGGTCTGGGCACTGCAGTCACTCGATTCTGCTTTGACTGAGCTTGCTGCGGTTGATTCAGTTGCTGCTGATTATTTATTTGTTGTGGCCCAGGTCCTGGAGGTCCTGACATTCGTGGCACTTGTGATAAAGGTCCGCTAGCAGGCGAATTGACACCTGCTGTAGGGAAACGATGAGCAAGAGGTATTCCAGGACCTTGCTGCATCCCTGGCGTTGGAGCTGGTTGGCTTGGTGCAGAGGACTGACTAGAAGGTTGACTCAAGGGAACTGAGGGCCTGACTTGTTGAATCATCCCAGGGTTGACTTCTGGAGACTCTGAAAGCTCTCCAGAGCGTGGCGGTTGACTGAAGCTTGAGTCTGACAAAGGAGTGGCAGCAGGTAATCCTGCTTGAAGACTGTCCGGTCGTTTGCCCTGAACTGCCATGGTTAGGTGTTGTGTTAGAGGTTGGTTCCGGGCCAAAAGTCTGTAAGCCATGATTTGAAATCGGAGTTGCTGTAACTGGTACTGACTCAGAAGCTGGCGGCTGGAAGCTGGACTTTCGGGTCCAATTGGAAATCCCTAAAGAACAAACATGAAGATATTTACTCAGACAAATGATGGGCAAAAATGCACTCATTTTTACAAATTATAGTACAGTTATTTTGCGAGTAATTTTCGAGGTATTTCTCGCATCATACAAGAAACAAATTTCTACAGCTTGAAAAAAACATGCTAATTCTGAAGGTTTTTTGTGAACTTCCTTTCTCCATAACTGTACATACAGCAATTGAGTTCATGTATTATTTTTCACGAAAAATCTTTAATCACACTATGAGTGGGTTGCCTTTGATCGAAATAGTCAAGATATAGAATAAAATACAAAAACATATTGTGATGCAATATCGGATTATGTTTTAATGTAATAAGATAATTTGATATAAACCTATGAGTAAATGTATGAATGCCAGGGCTTATATGCAGATTCGGTATGTCACATTGTATTTGTTTTAGCTGGTTCACCTCGCCCACTAGAAAAGCCCCTTTTGCAACATCTGCACAAAAGAGCTGAAATAACTTCACTTTGTGCCCAATCTTTTATGTGTAGAAGACCAAAAAATAACACAGGAAATAAGTCATATGCTGGTAATACCTGCTTCATAATTTATTTTAAATTTTTTATGCAGTTTTATTGGTCAGCAAAATGTTACTTCCGGACCGAGGTATTTCTTTACAAATTTTGAGACCATCTCATGCAACACAAACACAAAATCCCAACAGTCAAGTGCAGATATACATTCAGATGGAGTTTTTAGCACAAACCATACAGATGCCTGGCGACGAAACTCTACTGCCTTGCAGATTCTTTTCATGATACTAATTCAATTAGCAGCTTTATAATTCCCTTTATTTTTGTCACAACTTGAAACACAGGTTTGAGCATTGAAAAATCGAAAATTTAGAAAAACTTATAGTCTCTTAAGAGTTGACTATCTTTCCATTCAACTGAGGTTTCGTTGAGGGAAATCGTTATCATATTTTTGGTGCATGAAATGTGTGATTTGAGAGCTTCTGATCAATTACTTGCAGAGGCAAAAAATTATTGCATTACACACACGGAAAAAAAAAATTGCTGATTCAACAATTCAATTGCTGAAAACAGTGAGTGCAATGTTTCAACGCAGATTTTACAACAAAAAAATGCTACTTTAACCACCCACGTGGTTAAATTAGTTTACAATGTGGTTAAAGTAGCATTTTTTTGTTGTAAAATCTGCGTTGAAACATTGCACTCACTGTTTTTAGCGATTGAATTGTTGAATCAGCAATTTTTTTTTTCGTGCAGTGCAAATTGCTCATGTTCTGCATTCTGGGCTAGTTCAAGGTGTCCAGAATTGTTAACCATGCTCATTCCTTGATTTTCTTCTGATTTTCCGGAGCTAATTCTCTGATGAGAAATCAAAAGTTTTCCTCTACTGCTCCAGGATTTTATTGGAGAAAAAGTATAAAATTCTCCTAAGTTCCAGAATAGAATATCGATTTCTTTTCAACTTTCTGCCGATTCTTTGGCACAAATTAGAGTTTTCATTTCCGAAAGCGTTTTTGATGGATTCATCATTCAGTCAAGCTTCTCTATCACCCTGACAATTGGAAGATACAAGAGGTCAAAAATAGCGGCTCAGGTGTAATAACATAAACCTTTGAATGGTCTCCAAGCGGTAGAAGAGGAGATTCCCGGTTTTAGGAACAGAATTCCGGATTTTTCACTGAAATTGTTCATTCCCTGATGAATCCTGGTCTCTTGGTCGTAGAAACCATGTCTACTTCTTCTATTCTCATTTTTTACTTAAATTTTAATTTTTGGAGCTTCTTGGCTTTGATTTCCCCGCGAAATGGTGTGGACCCATCACCATTTTTCCACCTTGTTACATTACAGTATTCGGCTCCTTCTCACAATGGTACAGTTTTCTTATAATAATGTGTCCCACTCTATCACCAAACATAAAAGTTATTTGGTGCTTACCGATCCAGGAGGGCGAGGGTCTGAGCTAATACCACTTTGACGTGCTCTTAATGCCAAGAGTTGCGAGTATCTTGGGTCTCCTTGAAGACCTTTTTCCTCCATTGAGTCAATAGCACGTTGCAATGCGTTTAAATTTTCTTGCGGCAGGGGTCCAGACTAGAAAAATGAAAAAAAAAAAAAAACTTAGTTAGACAGGTCAATAACGCTTCAGAGAAAAATATGCACTGTCACATGAAACAATTTTTAGATGGCAATTTGGCTGTTCATTCATAGACTAAATAAGAAATAAAGTTCTTGTAACTTGATGAGACTAATTCGTCGAGGAAAAAAATCAATATATTATGTGATAGGTAGTATTCTTCAGCCCTGTCAGCACTCCCTTACAACTTAAACATTGTTGACGTGTACAAAATTAGTGTAAAAAAAAAACAAAAGAGGAAAAATTGAGGTTCCTTGCAGACAAGCCGCATTAGTGCAGTTTTTGCAATTTCCCAAAATACTTATTTATGGTTTTAAAATTAGAGGGAGCCTTAAGCATGGTAGAAAGAATGCTCAAGCTCACTTTTTGATGTTGAACAAATTAATTTTAGTACTGAATTTTTCACTGAATATATGTTTAGACTATTTTTAAGTGTATCATTCATACGTTGATTTTTTCAAAAACTGCATTAATGCGCCTGGTCCTTTAAGCCCCTCAATGGGACTTTCTTTTGCATAAAACCAAAACGAAAATAGTCATAAACTCATGATAGAGGACTATATCAATCGATATTCCTTGTAAAATTAATACTTTATTAATATGAGAATATGAAAACCAAAGTGAGCTGCATGTGAATGATTAATCCCAAAAGAGAAGCCAAAAAAATATTTGAAGGATGAAAAGGACTGGTTTCAATGAAAAAATGAAATTATATCGGCACTTGGCGAGCTTATCCCAACATTTACAAGCTCCCTTGAAACGAACATCCACAGTAAAACTAAAGATATTGTATCGGATTGCAGTGTTTCAAAATTTCCACTCATATTTTAATTTTTTCAGGGGCATCGTTTTAGGAGAGCAACAACCTCCCCTTAGATTAGAAAGGTGACGATTTAAAGGATCATCCTCATTGGTAAAAATTGATACATTTTAGGGTATAATTGAAGATCCCCCTCGGAGAAAATTAATTTCTCTAATTCATGACAATATTTTCCCCTCCTCAGACTTGGCTTAAATGGCACCCCTGAATATTTTACGAGGATATTGACTACCCGCCCGGCAACGGGCAAAAATAACATTACCACAACGTTGCTGCAACGTTGCCGCAACATTATTTTTGGCAGTTACATTGTGACAACATTTCCGCATCTACTTCAGGCAACCACTTGCCGGGCGGGTAAAAAGCAATGGAACCTGCAAAAAATGGAGTTGCATGATACTAAAGGGGGAAAAACCCCTCTTAGGGCGGCAATATAAATCGCGAAAATCGCACGAGATTCCGCGCGGTGCCGATGATCGGACGTTTTTTTAAAAAATAAAAGAGACAGGGAATCTGGACAGAATTGCCACAGAATTTAGAAAATGAAATTCCGTGTCATTTCCTAGACACATTTTGGTGGAATTCCCTGACAATTGAAGATGTGGCGGATGGTTAAGAGGGCATAATTGAAAGTAGTTTTCATGAAAATGTTTTGCGAAACCTCAAACCCATTCTAGAAAGCAAATGAAGGTGATATAAAAAAATTTCCTCGACATTTTCGTCATTTTCCCTGACATTTCCCGGTTTCGCCTGACTTTTTAAAATTCCCTGACATTTCCCGGTTTTCCCTGACTGTGGCAACCCTGTCTGCATTGTCGCAAACCGAGATACAAGCAGTTTCTGATTCCATCATCGACTGGGGTTCATGTGTTTTTTCGACGTTATCGCGTGAATATAGAAGACTTCCAAAAGGTTAAACGGCACACACTCGACATTCCATCGTGATACAGTACGGGCTGACAACTGCCGTCTTCCTTCCAAACATCGCCGGAATAAACGAACTGGTACGGACGCGAACACGCAAAAAGAATGATAAATAAACAGAGATGTAATATAGCATCCACAAGTTGCTCCTCCTGTTTACCAAGATCACAGGGAGAAGCGGAGATGAACCGGACGCGGTGGTGTTGCGGGTTGCGGGACACGGACGAAGAGAGGACATTACTGCCGTGCTAAGGAAGAACGCCGTAAAACATTCGAGAGTTGCCAAATTTCCTCCAGTAAAATGTTTATTTTTGAGGAAATTTATGAATATTTTTCCTTCAAATTTTCAGGATCTTTGGGTGGAATTGCGAACAAAATTTCCTGGAAAATTGGACGGAAAATATTCATAAGTTTGCCAGGAAATTCGTGTTTTATCAAAGAAAATTTGGCAACACCTGATGGCTCATACGACGTTCTTCCTTAGCACGGCAGATCAGGAGTCACAATCCATGGTCAAAGTGCGAAACCACGTATCTCCATCGCGGTGTCTCAAAATGTCCGTTCCTGTTTTACTTTTCCGAAGGGAAACAAGCCAACTATATGGTTGGAAATTTACAGAGTATTCGGCTGATAGCGAAGGCAGTTTTCAAGAGGTTACGATGATTAGTTCTTCAAAGAAAAGATAAAGTATGACAGGGAGTCTGCAACCAGGGTGTCTACTAAAACAAGCTGGCCAAATATCAGTATACTTTTCCGGTACTTTTTCAGTATATTCCCAAGATATTCAGTACTTTTTCAGTACCTCCAATTGACAAAATTCGAAAAATTTAAAAAAATGAATTTCCCGCTCAAATTGCGACAAATATTGCGAGGAAATCCGGTGTTTCCAAGTCGCTGGATCCGCTTCCGTCCCCACTAACTGGAATGCGATTATTGGTGTCCTCGTAAGTACTCGCAATACTTGCATTGGGACCAACTTTCCCTTGAAGTTCAACTTTACGGACGAGCAGGTGTAAAAGTTGAACCAATATTAGTAGGAATAACAATTAGCTATCGTCTGGTAACTTTGTCTCAATTTTTTTCGGCAGATATTAACAGACCACGGGCTGTTAACGAATATGAGGGAATCAGTTTAAACATGCGAGGTCGAATAAGTTTAATCACGCCCTCGGGTGTTCGTACCTTGCCAAATTTGGCCGAAATACTTGATTTAAATATTAAAATAAATAAAAAATCGAAATTGTTTCTTGATTGGAAACTCCGGTTTCCAAGCTAGGGGTGAATCACCACTATTAATTGGTTTCGATCAGGCCCGACACTCGTGTCTACGGCCAATGGGCGGGTCAATACTGCCGTGCTGAGGCAAAACGCCGTATGAGCCGTCAGATTTCCCCCGACAAATCACTCATTTTCAGGAAAATTTTTTAAGGTATGTCAACCAATTTCTCAGATAATTTTGTTTGTAATTTGATCTAAAACGTCTGAAAATTTCAAGGGAAAATATTCACAATTTTCCTCCAAAATAAACATTTTATCGAATGAAATTTGGCAACTCTCGAATGTTCATACGGCGTTCTTCCTTAGCACGGCAGAATAGCGCTATGCTCCTCAACTAGGTTGTCCACTAGCGTTGACCTACGAGAAAATAATGCTGCTTGACGTGCGTGATCCAAAATACGTTAAGTTGTTTACGAAACGAGAGGATTTCAATGAGAGAGAAAAGAGATATCTCTCCTTTGATCGACAATCTAGCATAGGATGATTGACATCGGGTGACTAGGGCGATACAAGGTCCATGTGTGTGTCCAGGGTGTTTATTTGTTAAAGCACGTCAACTATTGCGCGCGAAAAACACCTGTGTAACAATTGGCCAAGAGTCACTCAAAAGGCACGAAAAAGCTTAATCCTTTTGTTAATTGCCTCCCTCTCGAGAAAATCAAGATGCAATCGTGATTTTTCTGCAATCTGCGACCAAAATGTGGATTTGCCTTAAACATTGTAGAGACTGATAATTTTTTTTACTTCTTTTTGATTTTTTAAACACATTTTTTAGTTAACATACTTTCAACTCTTTTCGAATAATGCGACTTCGGCACACATTCTAAAGTTACGAAAAGTAAACACAATTTTGATCAGCGCGTTGTGTTGAGATTTTTGCGAAAACACAACGCGTGACAAGAATTTGCGGAGGCCTGGAACAATTTGCACCCCTAGATTTAAACATGAAAAGAAATAAACAAATAAAAATCGGGAAATTGTTCGTTGTTGGCAACCTCCGGTATCCAACATTCCAACCTAGGGGTGCGACATTATGTAGAGTGCGAAAATCAATTGATAAAGAGATAATTATTGCAAATACCGCAACGCAGCGTTGCAATAATGCCCCTCAACCTCTGACCGTTCGAAATGTGAAAGTGCCTGGATGAAAGCCGGGAGGAAGAGCGAAACGCTGCAGTTATCGATAGATTGGCCGCTCGACGAGAAAAGGTTCACAATACTTTAGGGTTAAAGGTAGGCGCAGCGGAGGAAGTATCGGGCTCGCGTATCGTATCGTTGCACGCATCCGCCCTTCCGCAATCAGCTAGTGCCAATACGTGCATTGCTCGAGTATTGACCTTACTCACGGCTTCGCCAACGGGAAATTCCACAGTAGATAGGGCCTTTCTGGCTACATAAATGGCCAATTCCTAAGACCGCACGCGTCCACCCAATCTAATTTTTCAGAAGAGACAAAAAACTATATAATAACTAGGGGGCTATGCCCCCTGGCCGCTACGCGGCCCAACCCTCAGAGGGCGCTTCGCGCACTCGTTGGCTCTCTTCGACAACAGAACGACCAAAAAAATGAAAAGATTTTCATACTCGACTCTCATTTTTTGTCCAATCTCCTCCTGGACGGGAGTGACTGGACCAATAAGAATCGAATAAAAAAATCGGCATTTATTTCAAACATCACGCCAAGACTGAAATGAAACGGAAAAAACGGAACGGAGTGTTTCGTCGCTCTGGATATAGATAGTTTGTAGCAAAGAAGCATACCTTCAATTCGCTTACCTTACCATACTAAAATAGACCAAGATTCAACATTTCCCTTTTAGTTCAATTTTCCGCTAAATTTGAAATTCCCGCCATTTTTCATTGGCGGGAATTTCAAATTTTGCCCCTCATTCTAAGCCCCCTGATTTACTCTCATATAAAAAACCTGGATCCTAT